GTGCACAGGGGTGAACCTCAAGCATTAATTTATTTACTCATTTTACTTTTTGCTGTGAGGGGTCTTTGTTGCTGTGCACGGGCTTTCTCTAGTTGTGGTCAGTGGGGGCTACTCTCTAGTTGCAGAGCACAGGCTCTTGGGCACGTAGGCTTTATTAATTGCGGCTCGAGGGCTCAGGAGTTGTGGTGCATGGGCTTAGTTGCCCTGTGGCATGTGTAATCTTCCTGGACCAGGAATTGAACCCATGTCTCCTGCATTGGCAGTCAGATTCTTAACCACCAGACCACCAGGGAAGTCTCCCAGAAACATTTTAGTGGGCTCAAATCATTTATTCAGTCAATAAGCATTTTTTTTACTTGCATTTCTCCTCTGTTTTTTAAACTATTTAAAAAATTGATGTGTAGTTAGTTTACAGTGTTGTGATAGTTTCAGATGTATAGCAAAGTGATTCAGTTATATATACTGATATATATATATATATATATATATATATGTATTTATGTATGGGTTTCCCTCGTGGCTCAGACAGCAAAGAATGTGCCTGCAATGCAGAAGACCTGGGTTCAACCCTGTGTGGGGAAGATCCCCTGGAGAAGGGCATGGCAACCCACTGCAGTTTTCTTGCCTGGAGAATTCCATGGACAGAGGAGCTTGATGGGCTACATGGGGTCGCAAAGTTGGACACGACTGAGCGACTAACACTATACACTATGTGTATGTGCATATATTCTTTTTCCCAGAGTCTTTTCCATTATAGATTGTCACAAGATACTGAATATAGTTCCCTTATCCAGTAGATCCTTGTTATGTGTCTTGTTTCTGTGTATAGCAGTGTGCGTATGTTAATCCCAATCTCCTAGTTTATCTCTCCTCCCACCCCAGCCCTCACTGACCCCTTTTGGTAACCATAAGTTTGTTTTCTGTATCTGTGGATCTCTTTCTGTTTTATAAATAAGTTCATTTACATAACTTTTTAGATTCTGTATATGTGATATCATATAGTATTTTTATTTCTCTTTCTGACTTCACTCAATATGATAATCTCTAAGTCCATCCATGTTGGTGTAAACGGCATTTTTTTTAATTGCTGACTAATATTCCATTGTGTATATATACTACACCTTCTTTAGCCATTCACGTGTAGATGGACAGTTAGGTTGATGCTGTGTCTTGGCTATTGTAAATAATGCCGCTGTGAACAGTGGGTGCATATATCTTTTTGAATTAGAGTTTCCTCCTAAATATGCCCAGTGGTGGGATCAACAGGCATTATATGTTATGTATTGTGGGCAAGGCTCTAAGGGAGTATCTGTGTAAGAGAAAAAGATAAATTTGACAAGTTCTAGGTAGCAAGTTTCCAAGAAAGATAAAGAGGAAGCAGGAGCAGGCAGGGATCGCTTCTGGCGTCAAGTCTCTGCCGGGATGCTCAGGGCAGCGTATGTTCTTCAGATCCAGGTTCTGTCATGGGGTCAGCCATCCTTCAAAGAATGCGATAGAATAGTATTAGGATGCATCTCCTGATTCATCCAGTGAGTTTTAAACGTGAAGCTTTTTTATTTCTAGAAATTCTATTTGGTTCTCTTTCTGCTGTGTCACATTTTATTTCCTGTTTCCCTGCAGAGACCCTCAAGCTCTTCTTTCATTGATTTAGGCAGAGTTTTACGGTGGTGGCTGTGTCTGAGTCTCTTCGGGTCTGTTTCTAGTGTCTTGTTTTGGGCTTGTTTTCTCTTGTGGCGTCTGGTTCCCAGGAATTCCTGGTTATCTTTGACTGTATATGGGTCATTGCATTTGAACATCTGGTCTGAGGGACTGTGGACCAGGATGATGATATCTTCCTCCCGAGAAGGCGTGTGTATTCTGTCCTCAGATTTCTGGGGACCCCGCCTGCCCAAGACGCGAGCCTGAAGCCAAGCTTGAGTTTGGGGTTCCTGGCACCATTGAGGGGACTCTGTGGGGCCCTAGTTCCAGGAAGGAGCTGTTCTCTGGGGTCAACCTGTGCTGGGGGTGTAGCCCTTTGAGGGTCCAGCTTTTAAAGGGAGGGTCTCCTGTTATACTTCCCACCTTCCCTGGGCCTGGGCTTGAATATCTGCCTTGTCACCTGGCAAAGCCGTCCAGATAAGAGTTCGTGTTCTCTGGACTCAACAAATGCCCAGTAAAGTCGCTTGGGTGTTTACACACCTCCTTGGTTCCCCTTTCGATCTTCTGTTCTGGCTGGATGATCCCTCACTCGGTTCTTGGCTTGTGCTAAAGTTGCTTCAGTCGTGTCCGATTCTTTGTGACCCTGCAGACCATAGCCCGCCAGGCTGCTCTGTCCATGGGGTTCTCCAGGCAAGACTACTGGAGTGGGTGGGTTGCCATGCCCTCCTCCGGGGATCTTCCTCACCCAGGGATCGAACCTGCGTCTCTTATGTCTCCTGCATTGGCAGGCAGCTTCTTTACTACTGAGCCACCAGGGAAGCCCCTTTCAGTTCTTTAAGAAGTCTTAAAATAATACGGGTTTGAAAAATCTGGTTGCTTTCATTGTTTTCTGGTGAGGTGGGTCCAGAATGGATTATAACCAGGGTTCTCTGCCCTGGATTATAACCAGGCCTAGAGCCTACTCATCACCACCAGGGACAGGAAGTCCCCATTTGTTTCATGAAACGGTGACTTCACAGTCTCTTTCCTCTGTGAGTCAGGTCAGAAGAGTGAAAACTCTGCTTTCAGGCACCCAGGGCAGCGTCTGTCTCCCCTCCTTTTCTCCTCTCTGCTTTGGGTGTGGCAGGGGTCAGCTGGGTGGGGAGGGGTGGGTTGCACCCCATCACCAGGGCTTGCTGCCCTCCCCGGCTCTAGGCTTACTCAGGGCCTGGCCTGCCCCCTCCTGTCTAAGTAGACCAGCCAGCCAGACTCAGAGCCTCCCTTTAATATTATAAAGTGGAATTAAAAAACAATACAATCTATTCATATGCATATTTATGTAATATAAAATGGGGAGGTCTAGGGCCAGGATCTGAGTGAGCTTGGAGCCTGGGGGGCGGCGCGGTGGGGGAGGAGGGTTTGCGGGTAGGGAACAGGGACAGTGTAATGCTCCAAGCATGACTGAGAAAACGATGGACAACAGTGATAAGTAAGTAACACACAGATTTTAGAAGGAAATCTTGGGCACAATTAGAAGACTCCAGGCAGCAGTCAGAGCTGGCCTCTGAATCACGAGTACTGCGGCCACAAACNGTAGGTGGTAGGTGCAAAACAGCACAAATATCCCTGTGAGGTTTGAATAACAAAGGACAACACAGATCCCTGTTTGTATTGGAGTTGCATTCCTGGATAAGTCAGTGTTTGCTAAAAGCATGCAAAAAAGACTGCTTCTGTGCACTACGCTGGGCCCAGAGCGCGCCTGCAGCCATCCACCTGTGAGCGGGTGGGACCCCTTTGTGTTAGGGCGCTGGCGCCTAGCATCCCTGTCCTGCCTTCTACAGGCTAGCTGTGACCTCACTGGTTGGGACAACAAAAATCACCCCCTCCCATTTCTAAAACACCCCGCTCCCCCAACTCCTACTGGGAACTATAATGTGATGACCAGGGGACCAGGAGCCCTGAACACTCCCATTTAGCCTGGAGAAGCAGGAGGACTTCCTGGAGGAGGTGACACCCCAGCTTCTTGAAAGTTGGGCTGTGAAGACGTGCTCTGTGCAAAGAATTGAGTGTTTCCGAAGTGATGGCCTCTCATGCTGGTGGTGCCGGGGTGGGCAGACTAGGGCAGCCTTGGCGGCTCCGTCTCCTTGTGGAATTGTCTTTTCCCCCCTGCTTTCAAGGAAGTTCTGTGTTCTCTGAACTTTGCCTCACTGGGTTTCCCTTCCTGATGACCAGGAAGGTCATCAAGCCTGCTTGTGGGCTAGGCAGAAACCCCAGTTTTGTTTTTGGTTTCCAGGGGCTGTCGGACTAGCTTTGACCTGAGTGGGGACATAGCTTTCCCTTAGAGGGTAGAGGGAGGGGCCTGCGGTGGGGGCGCCCCGTCTCTGTGATCCGCCTCCCCGGGGGCCCTGTCTGGGTTCCCAGCACAACTGTCTTCCTCCTGCACAGCACTGCAGCCAGAGAGGGGTCTTAGAGGCCATGAGCTCCGTCCTCTGCTTTCCTGGGATTCCCTCCTGCGACAGAGAGCTCACTGCCTCACAGCACAGCCCACAGTATTGTCAGGCAGGCGCTGTCCCCATGCCAGCATTTCACAGCACCCCAAATCCTTCGGTCTCTTCTCACCACACTTCAGGGTTTTCCAGCTCATGCCTCCTTTGCATAGGTAGAAAAAGCTTAACATTCTTTTTGGAGTTTGGGCTTATGAAAATCATTGACGTTGTATCTATTTCCAAAATAAAACCCAGTTAATAAAGAACTTACTTCTGGAATTTTAATTGGCTCTGTCCTAGGTTGAATTCTCTAGAAGCAGAGCCTCAAAGGGAGAATTATGAAGAAGGGGTCCCAGGCGGAGTATCAGGGAGCCCCCCTCCTACAGGCCAGGGACGAACCGAGCAAGGAGGTGGTTTCAGGGGAAGAGAGGCCTCAGGTTGATCCCACAGGGACCACCAGACAGTCTCCTCCTCCTGCCGTGGGATGGAGGCCACTTCTGCTGGGGGGGGTGGTGGAGGGGGATGTACTGATGACTTCCCAGGGAACTGTGGGGAAGATAGTGGTGGTCCAGAGAGGGATGCTGCTGTGAACTGTCGGCCATCAGAGTACAAAACGTGGAGCCAGACTGGGCACAGGAGTGGGGTTTTAAGGGCTTCTGATAAGCCTCCTGTGGGGAAGCGGGATGTGTCTGCCCCCAGGTGAGGGGCCAGTGCTTCCCGGCCCGTCCGTCCTACTCAGCACGATCTAGGGTGCTTCAGGTTCTCTGGGGGACTTCCGACGCTGCCTCTTCACCCTGGTGGGGCCAGGGGCAGTGGTGGGGGGCAGGGCTGCAGGCTGGGGTCTTCCCGGAGCCCCGCGTGAACCGATCTCCCTCTTTCTGCACCCCAACCCCCCAGACTGCCTCTTCAAGGTGTGTCCCATGAACCGCTACTCGGCCCAGAAGCAGTACTGGAAGGCCAAGCAGACCAAACAGGACAAGGAGAAGATCGCTGATGTGGTGCTGCTGCAGAAGTTACAGGTGTGGGTGTGCGGGTGTCCACTGGCCCGTGTGTCTCACTAACCCGGCACACGCACAGGGCTGCCGCTCATCAGGGCTGACAGGGCCTAGTGGCCAAGTCCTGAGGTTTGACCCATCAGGCCAGAGACCGATGTGTGTCGCTGTGAAGGAGGTGGGGGGTCTAAGCCCGGCCAGAGGCCCACTCATCCACCCCTCTGTGCCCGTTGGAGGCAGGCGTCTCCTCCTCTAAGCCGGTGCAGCCCTGTCCCAGGACCCGTGGCGCAGTGAGCTGTGGACTGCCTTCAGCGGGTCTTAGCTAGGTCTTCAACGGGACATTGTAGTGCAGTGAGAAACCTGGGCAACTGTACATGGAGTTACTGGGGCTTCTAGAGAAGTGGTTTCAGCGAAACTGATTTGAGAACTAGTCTTAACCTCTCCCCTCATTCTGTAGAGTTGGAGCCTGGGGCCCTTTGAGGGGACTAGGCCGTTGGGGCCATCCTACGAGTTGCCATGGGGCTTAGATGGTCCCTGGGTCTCCGGCCGATGTTGTTGCATGGGGCCCAGCGGTGGCGCTCAGGCCTGGCGTCCACGTCCTGGCTAGTTCTCTCCGGACCCAGCTCATGGGCCCCCAGCCCAGTCCCCGTGGAAGCGAGTGGGAGGCTTACTCAGGGTCAGCAAGGTCGTAGCATGATGCTGGGACCCTCCCCTGGGCCTGGGGCCCCAGCCCTTCCCACCACCAGCCCGGCCTTGCTTCCAGTATCGCCTTCCTCCAGGAGGTGGGTGTGAAATGGGGAACGAGAGGGCCTGCCCCGCAGCTGTGAGCCTTGCTGGAGAGGGGGCTGGGTGTGCGCTGCTGAGCTGTTTTACCCGAGACCATCTTCACCCCTGCTGGGGGCTGTTGCGAGCTTTTTCCCTGCGGCTGCCCTGCTGCCGCAGGCCCAGGCTGGGCTGTGGGTCTGGCAGGGTGTGGGGCATTCACACGTGTGCAGATCCTCAGCACCACACGTGCTCACACAGCCAGGCACTGAGGTTTGTGCAAAGTCACATGGTACCTGGCACGGTGCCCCCGCAGCCACCTTCCCACTAGATTCAGGCCTGAGGCCCGGATAACGGGACTGAGGAGGTGGAAGGGGCAGAGGGACCACTGCTTTAAGGAGAGCTGGTCTGATGGAGGAGATAGCGCCGCCCCCTCACCGGCAGGACCTCCGCCCAGTCTGATGGAGGAGGCATGGCCTATCCTCAGGCAGCTTCCAGGCTCATGGGACAGAAGAGCCTAAAAAGATGTCCTTAATGGGAGGCAAACCAAATCCTGGAGGACCGGAGCTGGATCCTTCAGAGTTGGCTGTGGCCCGTCAGGGAAGGCTCCCTGGAGGCGGTGGGCTGGGAGCACATGCAGTGCTGGGGAGGGAGAGTCGCAGAGGAGAGGGAGGAGGAGGAGGACATGGTGCCCAGCATACCTGCAGGGCTGGGCCAGGGGTCCTGAGTCGGGGCCCCAGGACTCTGGTGTGATGGGGGAGGAGGCCCAGCCTTAGGTTCTCTGCTGGGGGTGTCGGGGCTGTAGGGGGCTCAGGGGTCTGTTGGCTGCCCCCTGTCCCAGAGTGAGGTGGTGGGAAGGGAGCAGAGAGGAAGGACCTAGTGCACCGGGCTGCCTGCTGGGTGCCCAGGCTGCCCCTCTGCACTCTGAGCCTCATTCTCCCATAGCAGCGGGAGGAACAGGGCAGATGGCCCGGGGTGGGCAGGGGTGGGTCCCTCTGGGTGCAGTGGCAGGGCCTGTGGGTGCGGGGGGTCGGGCCGGGCCTGCCCTCCATCGCAGCCTGTGTCTGTGCAGCACGCGGCCCAGATGGAGCAGAAGCAGAACGACACGGAGAACAAGAAGGTGCACGGGGACGTCGTGAAGTACGGCAGTGTCATCCAGGTGCGGGCAGGGGGCTGCGGGCAGGGGGCTCCGCCCGGCCGACCTGTGGGACGACTGCCCCCCGCCCGCCTCTGCTGTGCCCGGTGCCTCTGAGCCGTGTCCACGGGGGTGTGTGTGTGTGTTCAGCATGGTGGTCGCCAGCGCAGGGCCTGGAGCCCTGGGGGCCGGGCTCACGTCGTGCTTCTGTGGCCTGGGCGAGTCGCTTCCCCTCCCTGGGGCTCTCTTTCCCCAACCGGATGATTAGGCCAGTGATAGTAAATACTTTTCTCCAACTGTTCCAGGGTTACGGGAGCTAATACGAGTAAGATGTTTAGAGCAGCGCTTTTTTGTGTGATCACCTGGGTGCCAGACTGGGTGTGGTGTGAGTGTGCGTGTGGTCGTGTTTGCATCCTGTGTGTCCAAGGGTCCTGTGCACCCCCTGCTCTGATGGGCCGGCCTCCTGGGGTGACCTCACCCTCCCTGCCCCCCCAGCTCCTGCACATGAAGAGTAACAAGTACCTGACCGTCAACAAGCGGCTGCCGGCCCTGCTGGAGAAGAACGCCATGCGGGTGACGCTGGATGCCACGGGCAACGAGGGCTCCTGGCTCTTCATCCAGCCCTTCTGGAAGCTGCGGAGCAACGGGGACAATGTGAGGATGGCCTGGGGGGAGGGCCCTGCTGGAGGGCACAGGCCGCAGCTCTGTGGGGGGGGCTTCTACAGGGTCCTTGGTGGGGGGGCTGCACAAGCTCAGGCCCATTTCTCAGGGGGCAGAGTGACCAGAGAGAAGCCTGGGGGCCCGGCCCTCCGCATACTCACCCTGCTCCATCGGTCCTTGTAGGTGGTTGTGGGGGACAAGGTGATCCTGAATCCCGTCAACGCCGGGCAGCCTCTGCACGCCAGCAATTACGAGCTCAGCGACAATGCCGGCTGCAAGGAGGTGAGCGGGGAGTGGGAGAGAGAGGTGGGCTGATGTAGGCTGGGACCCGGGATGCATTACAGGAGCACCTGCACCTGGCCAAGCGTCTCTCGAGCAACACAATCCAAAGAAACTATGAGACTAAGCGTAACAGCATGCATTCACAGTGGGGGCAATTATGAACGGTAGGATGCAAAAAGGCCAAAAACCAACTGCTATTTCTGAGATACTGGGAGTGAAAGCCAGGCACTGCGAGTGCACAGGGCACCAGCAAGGGGGTGGCAGGCCGCCTCGGCCACGCCTCCGGCCTGGCCCGTGGATCCACCCCCGCTTTCACCCTTTATAAGACGGGCTAGCAGGGCGCCTGGGACTTGTTTTTGCTCCCTAGGGCTGCGGCATGAATCCTGCTAAAGCCTTGTCTGAACTGGTTGTCTGGCCTCTTGTTAATTTCTGTTGATTAAAGAGTCTGGGGGCCCTCGTTGGTAGTCTCGTTGGGCCGACCCTGCAGTGAGGAGTGCTATACACCCCTCCCCGCAGTGTCGCTCCCTCCCATCCTGTCTGCCGCTGGAGGGGCTGGGTGGGCCTCCCCGCCCCCCTGCCTGTCTCCCAGCATCTGCCCACATGCTCCACCCCACAGGGCGGCCGCCCCAGGGCTGCTGGGCTGGGGCCTGGGGGCCCTGGCTGGGACCACACACCCCCTCCCTGTGCTCATTACTGGGGGCTGGGCTGGTCTCCCCGTACCGCTCTGGGCCTTCAGCCCGGCCCACTCTCCAGGGGCTGGGGGCCTGCGCAGCCTCACGGGTCTCTGTGCTTCCTCAGGTCAACTCCGTGAACTGCAACACCAGCTGGAAGATCAACCTGTTCATGCAGTTTCGAGACCACCTGGAGGAGGTGCTGAAAGGGGTGAGGACTGCGGACACCCCTTCCCGTGCCGCGCCGGGTCCCCTTGTCTGCCTGCGTCCACCTTCTGGCACCCGGCTCTGCTCCCTGTCCGGCCCCCACTCCACGCACCCCCTTCTCTGGCTCCACACCCCCTCCAGCCCCCCCACCCTGCAGGGCTGTCCCCAGCCGCCCCGGCTGGCCTCATCTCATGAAGAGAGGCTCCATCCTCTCCCAGTCCTGGCTGAGCTCACTTTGTTTTCTGGGAAGGGGGTGTGGGCGCAGATCCTCTGAGCGCTCTCCCCCCTCACCCACGCCTCTTCACAGTCCCAGCCCAGGCCCCCTACCCTCTGCCCCATGCCCGCTCCGGCAAGGACTCCAGGCTGCCTGGTCAGGGCCTGTGCTGGCCAGGGTGGGCGCTCGGACACGTGCGGTGGTGGGCTGGGGCTCCGTGTGCCTGTTGGCTCTGGAAGGTGTCTGAGATGGGTGGGCTCGCCCGCCGGGAGGGTCCCCAGCCGCCCTGAGCCCATGGCCCGCCTGCAGGGAGACGTGGTGCGGCTGTTCCACGCGGAGCAGGAGAAGTTCCTGACGTGCGACGAGTACAAGGGCAAGCTGCAGGTGTTCCTGCGCACTACGCTGCGCCAGTCCGCCACCTCGGCCACCAGCTCCAACGCCCTCTGGGAGGTGGAGGTCAGAGCCCCGCTTCCGGCCCGGGCCCACCCTGCTCTCCCTCCCTGGGCACCCCATCCCTGCTGGGTGGGAGGCCACGCACCCCCGCCCCGCCCCCGCCCACAGCATCTGTCTCCTCTGAACCCCTCCGTGGCCAAGAGGCCGGAGAGGATCGCAGAGCCGCCCACCCAGAGCCCTCTGGGCCTGCAGTGCTCCTCCCATGCGTTTCTTCCTGCCTCGCCCAGGTGGTCCACCACGACCCGTGCCGTGGAGGAGCTGGCCACTGGAATGGCCTCTACCGCTTCAAGCACCTGGCCACCGGCAACTACCTGGCTGCGGAGGTGGGTGGGGAGGCAGAAGGCATCCTGGGAGCCCTGGCCTGGCATGCACGAGCGTGTGTGCCTGGCACATGCCTGCATGCAGACATGTGTCTGTGGACCCTGGTTTATTTGTGCTCGTTTATCTATTTAACCAATATTTGTAGTCATGCTCGGGTGATGATAAGTCTCACGGGTATGATGATGCCCCTGCTCTGTGCTAGCAGCTGTTCTAGGCCCTGGGGCTACAGCAGTGAGCACGACTCCCAGCCCTTGTGGAGCTTACATTCTGCATCTGTCTCTGTCTGTGATGCACGGGCTTGTGTGTATTGGGGTGTGTGTGTGTGTGTCCGTCTGTCTGTCCAACTGTGGGTCTGTGGAGGGCAGTGATCTTGTGGGTGCATCCTCCAGGGCTGGCATGAGTCCTGGGGCTGGGCTGGGCACCCTGGGAGGGTAGGGGCTGCCTGCCCCAGCCCAGGGTCGTATGTGGACATTGTTATGGAGCGGTGATCCTGTGGCTAACTCCCCATCTTGAATCTCTGAGCAGGAGAACCCCAGCTACAAGGGTGACGCCTCTGATCCCAAGGCAGCAGGCATGGTGAGGATCGGAGGAGGGTTTGGGGGCAGGGAAGGGTGACCATGTGTGGCTCCGGGGTTGGGGGGTGGGGAGTCCATGAGACCCTGGGAAGTGGGCTGGAGGGAGAAGGCCTCTTGGGTGGGATCCCGAGTGGTTTCGGGGGGCCTGAGAGGAGGAAAGGGCTCCTGCCTGAGTTGGGGTCCCCGCCCCCAGGGCGTGCAGGGCCGCGCAGGTCGCCGGAATGCTGGGGAGAAGATCAAGTACCGCCTGGTGGCTGTGCCCCATGGCAACGACATCGCGTCCCTCTTCGAGCTGGACCCCACCACGCTTCAGAAGACTGACTCCTTTGNGGGCTGGGGGCCAGGCTGGGAGCTGGGGGGCTGGGCTGGAGTCCAGGTTGGTCCCTGGAGGCCCTGCTGACCTATGTTCCTGCAGCTGGGTACATGCCCCACCAAGGAGGACAAGGAGGCCTTCGCCATCGTGTCGGTTCCCGTGTCTGAGATCCGAGACCTGGACTTTGCCAACGATGCCAGCTCCATGCTGGCTAGCGCCGTGGAGAAGCTGCATGAGGGTTTCATCAGCCAGAATGACCGCAGGTGGGCCGCAGGGGCCGGGTTCCGGGGGTTCCCCGAGAGCCTTCGTCCTCCTGGGGTCTGTGTCTCATGGACGAAGGTGGCAAAGCAGAAGCCGGACAGGCTGGGTGGGGTGACAGGAAGGGACTAGTCCCTGTCGGGCGCTGGCTGACTTTGGGCCCCAGGCTCACTGCTGACATACTCCAAGAACCAGCTCTGTGATGGAGTCACCATTCTCCCTGTTTCACTCATGATGGGATTGAGGTGCAGAGAGGTTCAGAGACTTGTCCGTGGTCATACAGCTAGTAAGTGGCAGTCAGGATGGAATTGCAGAGCCCTTCTCACCAGACACCCACTGTGTGCCCTACTGGTTTTTCTGCAGGTCGGAGTATCCTGGGATTCTGTGTCCAGAGGGCACTTTGGAATCCAGGGTGGATGGGGGCAGGGGTGTGCGTGGAGAGCAGCTCAGGGTGAGGCTGGGAGAGAAGTGGAAGGCAGGTGTCAGGCTGTGTGCTGTGACGGCAGGGCTGGCATGTGGGGAAGGGCTGGTCGCCCCTGGGGGCAGGCGAGGGGGTCCTCGGGGTGCCCAGGGTCAGCCCTTCACACTCCTCTCGCCTGGTGTCCCTTTGTGAAGGTTTGTCATCCAGCTGCTGGAGGACCTGGTGTTTTTCGTCAGTGATGTCCCCAACAATGGGCAGAACGTGCTGGACATCATGGTCACCAAGCCCAACCGCGAGCGGCAGAAGCTGATGCGCGAGCAGAACATCCTCAAACAGGTGGCCGCGCACACCTGGGACTGGGCGGGCTCCGGGGCGGGCCTGTGGCCAGCGAGCAAGACGTCTTTTATTTATTTATTTTTGTATATGTGTCTTGTCTTTATTTTTGGCTGTGCTGGCTCTAGTTGTGCACGGGCTTCTCCTTGGGCTGGCTTCCCTTGTTGTGGAGCCCGGGCTCTAGAGCACAGGCTCAGTAGGTGTGACCCACGGGCTTAGTTGCCCCATGGCATGTGGGGTTGTCCCAAATCAGGGATCGAACCCGTGTCTCCTGCATTGGCAGGTGGATTCTTTACCGAGCCACCAGGGAAGCTCATCTTTTTGACATGAGCTTGCTTTTCACGTCTCCAGCTGAACTGTGGTCTCCCTGCTGTTTTCTCATCACTTCTTTAAACATTTTTTAAAAATTATTATTATTTTTTTAAAATTTTGAGGTGTGGCTGATCTCATCACCTCTTTTTTTTTTTTCATCACCTCTTAAAATAAGTATTTATTGCACTCTTACCATGTGCCAGGCTCCGCCCTTAGTGCCCTGCGTGAATCACCTCATTTAATCCTCCCAACCCAGTGAAAGTCTTATTAATTATTATCCCCATTGCACCCTCAAGGCATGCAGAGGTTGGAGTCACTTGACCGAGTCCACAGCTAGGAAGCAGTAGGGCCAGGACTTTCGTGCAGATGTCAGATAGAGAACTTGTGCTTTAAACAGATTTTTTTTTTCCTCCAAATTTTTATTATGAAAATTTTCAAATGTTGAGCAAATATTGAAAGAACAGTGAACATGCACTCATTACCACGTTGCCAGTCTGGCTTTCTATAACCCTACATCTCCACATCACCCCCATGTCCACGCGTCTCAAAAGAGGGTGCACCTCACCTCTAAACGCTTCAGTGTGCATCTCCTAAGGATAAAAGCATTGTTCTCTGTAAGCAGAGTCTCGTTACCACACCTAAGAAAACTAGCAACAATACCCTGTCCAGATCAATTTTCTGTACCTTTCCCCAAATGCGTCTTTAAAGCTCGTTTTTTTTGGGTGGGGGAATCAGGATCCAATTAAGGTTTTCTCATTCCGTGTGATTCTGGCTCTGTGGTTGCTGTTCTACAGCTGCTTTTCACCCACACCCAGTCCCTGAGTTAAACTTGTCTTTGGACCAGGCAGGCCTGCTTCTGACCTCTTAAGCTCTGGCCACCCTGCTGTGGCCTGCCTTTTCTCTCAGCCTCAGACCCCAGAGCTGCAGCCACCCTCAGCTCTCTCCCCAGGGGCTGAGCCAGGCCTGGGGCCTGAGTTGAGATTAGGATTCGCGTTGGGGAGGGGCTGGCCGAGGCCAGTGTCCCTGGGACTGCAGCCGGGAGAGGGGAGCAGCTGAGCGGTGGGCTGGGGCCATGTCCAGCTTAGAACCAGCTGGGGGTTAATGTCAGGGTGACCTCCCGGCAGGGTCAGCATGAGGCTGAGGGTGATGAGCGGTGCGGGCAGATGTGGGGCTTCTTCCCGACTCTCCGTGCTCCCTAGATCTTCGGCATTCTGAAGGCCCCGTTCCGCGACAAGGGGGGCGAGGGCCCCCTGGTGCGGCTGGAGGAGCTGTCGGACCAGAAGAACGCGCCCTACCAGCACATGTTCCGCCTGTGCTACCGCGTGCTGCGCCATTCCCAGGAGGACTACCGCAAGAACCAGGTGGGCCGCCCGCTGCCTGGCCTCTTGCCCTCTGCCCGCCGGCAGGCTCCGCACTCCTGCTTTGCTTCACCCCGCATGTGCTCCCCAAGGCGCACCCCAATGTGCCAGGTGCTGTCTCACGGGGATCGGACTGTAGGCCAGTCCCCACGGCACACAGCCTGGCTCCGTCCTTTGAGGGACCTCACACTGGGTTTAACATTCCACGGTGGCTGTCTTGAAATTCTTAGTTTTTGAATAAGAGTCCTGCTATTTCTTCTTTTTTTTTTTAATATTACCTCTAGTTTAATTTATTGAAGTATAGTTGATTTATAATGTTTTAAATTGCTGTTGTACATCTGTGTTTCAGTTATATATATATATATACATTAAAAAAATATTCTTTTCCATTATGGTTTGTCATAGGATATTGAACAGAGTTCTCTGTGCTATCCGTTAGGATCTTAATGTTTATCCATTCTATATATAAAAGCTTACATCTGCTAGCCCCAACATCCACTCCATCCCTCCCCCAGCCCCTCCCCTCCCCAGTCTATTTTCTGTGAGCCTGTTTGTTTCATGGATAAGTTCATTTATGTCATATTTTAGATTCCACATGTAAGTAATATCATATGGTATTTGTCTTTCTCTTAATTTCCCTTAGTATGGTAATTTCTATTTGCATCCATGTTGCTGTAAATGGTGTTATTTCGTTCTTTTTTATGGCTGAGTGATATTCCACTGTGGGGTTTCCCTGGTGGCTCAGTGGTAGAGAATCTGCTTGCCAAGGCAGGAGACATGGGCTTGATCCCTGGGTTTGGAAGATGCCCTGGAGAAGGAGATGGCAACCCACTCCAGTATTCTTGCCTGGAGAATCCCAGGGACAGAGGAGCCTGGTGGGCTGCTGTCTATGGGCTCGCACAGAGTCAGATATGACTGAAGCGACTTAGCATGCATGCATGCATTGGAGTAGGAAATGGCAACCCATTCCAGTATTCTTGCCTGGAGAATCCCAGGGACGGAGGGGCCTGGTGGGCTGCTGTCTGTGGGGTCGCACAGAGTCGGACACGACTGAAGTGACTTAGTAGCAGCAGCAGCATGTCTTGGCTATTGCAAATAGTGCTGCTGTGAACATAGGGGTGAATGTATCTTTTTTTAGTTACAGTTTTGTTTGAATATGTGCAAGGAATAGGATTCCTGGATCATATGGTAATTCTATTTTAGTTTTCTGAGGAACCTCTGTACTATTTTCCATAGTGGTCACACCAACTTAAATTCCCACCTACAGTGTGGGAGATTTCCCTTTTCTCCATACCTTCTCCAGCATCTGTTGTTTGTAGACTTTTTAATGATGGTCATTCTAACTGGTGTGAGTAGGTACCTCATTGTATTAATAGTTTTGATTTGCATTTCTCTAACGATTAGTGATATTGAGCATCTTTTCATGTGCCTGTTGGTCATTTGTATTTCTTTAGAGAATTGTCTATTTAGGTAGGTCTATCCATTTTTCAGTTGGGTTTATTTTTTTGTTGTTGAGTTGTGTAAGTTATTTGCATATTTTGGAAGTTAAGCCCTTGTCAGGCACATTGTTTGCAAATATTTTCTCCCATTCTGTAGGTTCTCTTTTCATTTTGTTTATGGTTTCCTTTGCTGTGCCAAAGTTTGTAAGTTTGATCAGGTCCCATTTGCTTATTTTTGTTTTTATTTCTATTGCCTTTGGAGACTGACTTACGAAAACACTGGTACAGTTTATGTCAGAGAATGTTTGCCTGTGATCTCTTTTAGGAATTTTATGGTGTTGTGTCTTACATTAAAGTGTTTAAGCCATTTTGAGCTTATTTTTGGTGAGATGGTGTGTTCTAAGGTCATTGATTTACATACGGCTGTCCAGCTTTCCCAGTGACACTTGCTGAAGAGACTTTCTGTTGTATATTCTTGCCTCCTTTGTTGAAGATTAAGTGACCATAGGTGTGTGGGTTTATTTCTGGGAAGAGTCTACTATTTCATTTTAACCAGGTCCTACCAATCATGTAGCTGGTCTGCTAACAGACAGGGTCCCTCCCTCATGGGGGTTTCATTCTGGCAGGGAGCTAGATGGGAGCTAAGTAACAATGTTACAGAAACCCACCCTTGGCCCAGGGCTGGTGTCCTCTCCTGGACCCCTTAGCTTCCTAGGGTCTGGGTCCCCTACTGGTGTCTGGGGGCCCGGGAGGCAGCGTTCTGGAGCAGAGCGGGTCCCCTGTGACCCTTAGCTTGGCTGTCCCTAGGAGCACATCGCCAAGCAGTTCGGGATGATGCAGTCCCAGATTGGCTATGACATCCTGGCTGAAGACACCATCACTGCCCTGCTGCACAACAACCGCAAGCTCCTGGAGAAGCACATCACCAAAACAGAGGTGGAGACCTTTGTCAGCCTGGTGCGGAAGAACCGGGAGCCCAGGTGGGCCCCCCTCGCCGGTCCCACCCCACCATCCCTCCCCGCTCCCAGCGCTGCCTGGGGAAGAAAGCTCCTGACGCTGGCTGTTAAATCTTGAACTCCTGCCCTTGTTGGTAAACTGCCCCCTCTCTGAGGGGGCCCTCCCTGAGTCCCCTCCCAAATTTGGCCCAATTTAGCAGTAAGAGTGTTGACTCCCGGTACAGTGGGAGGCCCCCAGAACCTTTTTTAGTAGGTGAGTCAGTGTGCGCAGCAAACCAGTTAAATATTTTGAATATCGCTCCTCCCCTGGGCGTCCTTTTCTCTGCCTCTCGGCAGTTAGCCCCAGGGTGATGCCCATGGGTTGTCCGTCTCCTGGGGGAGTCCACAGCCCCAGCTCTAAGCTTTGGAAAGGGAGGAGGAGCAGTAAACTGCAAGCACCAGGGAGCTGGTGCCGCTAGCTGGGGGAGCAGAGGGGGCTTTGCCCCGTCCGGGGAGCCGCCTCTGAGTCCCTCCCGGCTGTCACCTCTCCAGGTTCCTGGACTACCTGTCTGACCTGTGTGTGTCCAATCACATCGCCATCCCCGTCACCCAGGAGCTCATCTGCAAGTGTGTGCTGGACCCCAAGAACAGCGACATTCTCATCCAGACCGAGTGAGTTGGCTGAACTGTCTCGCGCCCGCGGTTCAGTCTCCCCAGGGCTCCCCCCTGCCTGGCTCCCCAGCCACCTCAGAGCTTCAGGCTAGAACAGGCTCTCCGCAGACACCAGTGCCTGCTATGGGCCCAGCTCGGTGCCTGGCACGGTGTGGGGGAGGGCGGGCTGCAGAGGAGAGGGAGCCGAGGCCTCGGCCTTCCCGGAGCTTGTGGTCCATCTCAGGTCCTGACCGCCTGGGAGCCGGCCGGCCCTCAGTGCAGCTCCGGGAGGGGAGGCCTGTGTGGCTGCGGTGCTGGGGCGGGAGGGCTCTGGGCCCCGCTCCTATCGATGGTGCCGCGCGTCCACAGGCTTCGGCCCGTGAAGGAGATGGCGCAGTCCCATGAGTACCTAAGCATCGAGTACTCAGAAGAGGAAGTGTGGCTCACATGGACCGACAAGAACAACGAGCACCACGAGAAGAGCGTCCGGCAGCTGGCTCAGGAGGCGCGGGCTGGCAACGCCCACGACGAGAACGTGCTCAGCTATTACAGGTGCCCGGGGTCCCCCCAGCTGGCTTCAGCCAGGCCCTGCCCTGGGATGAGCCCCAGCGGCTTCTGGGGGTGCTCCTGCCTCCTCCTTCACCTGCGAGGCCAAGTCAGGGTGACTGGGTGGCCCGAGGAGCATTTGTTGGCCTGAGGACAGGCTCAGCACAGTGGCCTGAAAAGAGACCCACGCCCGTCTCCCAACATCCATATTTTAAAGATAAGAACACTAGGTAACACTCATCAGATGCTCACTGTGTCCCTGGCACTGGTCAAAACACTTCACCCGATCACTCAGTTCAGCCTCACAACAACCCTGAGAGGTAGGGCCTGTCATTACCCACATTGTAAAGTTGTGGGGGGCAGGCGTGCATGCATGCTAAGTCACTTTCAGTCATTGTGACCCTATAGTCTATAGCCCACCAGGCTCCTCTGTCCATGGGATTCTCCAGGCAGGAACACTGGAGTGGGTTGCCATGTCCTTCTCCAGGGGATCTTCCCGACCCAGGGCTTGAACCTTTGTCTCTTTATATCTCTTGAGTTGGCAAGTGGGCTCTTTACCATTAGCGCCACCTGGGTAGCACGCACGCAGTGCGCACCGGTCTTCAGCAGGCCCAGGCATGTGCTAGAAGCCCTTGAGAGCCGACCTGTCATGTCCTCACCGTCCTCCTTGCCCCACAGGTACCAGCTGAAGCTCTTCGCCCGCATGTGCCTGGACCGGCAGTACCTGGCTATCGACGAGATCTCCCAGCAGCTGGGCGTCGACCTCATCTTCCTGTGCATGGCGGACGAGATGCTGCCCTTTGACCTGCGTGCCTCCTTCTGCCACCTGATGCTCCACGTACACGTGGACCGCGACCCCCAGGAGCTGGTCACGCCTGTCAAGTTCGCCCGCCTATGGACCGAGATCCCCACGGCCATCACCATCAAGGAGTGAGCTGGGTGGAGGAGGGCGGGCAGGGCCCGGCTGGAGTGGGGGGACCCCGGGGACACTCACGCCTGGCCACCTCCACCTCCTCCAGCTACGATTCCAACCTCAACGCCTCCCGAGACGACAAGAAGAACAAGTTTGCCAGCACCATGGAGTTCGTGGAGGACTACCTCAACAATGTGGTCAGCGAGGCCGTGCCCTTTGCCAACGAGGAGAAGAACAAGCTCACCTTCGAGGTGGGCTGGGGCTCGGCGGGATGCTGGCCTGGTTCCGCCCCCGGTCTCGGCCACCCCTGGGGTGGGCGGTGCGATCCGTGACCTAACTTCCCTCAGCGTTCCTGCCAGAGCGGGGACACCGTGCAGACCACTGGGACTCCCCAGGAGGGAGGCTTCTCTCCTGACTCCCTGCAGAGGGCTGCCTCCTGGTCCACTCACCCCATCAGCGCAGGGCTGGGTCGCAGGCGGAAGCCCCCACCCCCTGCTTCCTGCATTTCTGCCCTGTCCTCCCCACAGTAGCCTCCTCTGCAGGCCAGGCTTCCTCGGTAACTCTCTGAGGTCCGGCAGACTCTTGGCTCCGTGTCCACGCCTCCTTGACATCCTAGCGACGGGACTGTCAATTGTACCAATTGACCGTCAGTTTTACCAGCTGAGCCCGGCTAGAGCAGAGCGGGCCCCGCCCCACGAGACCACGCCTCTTTCGAAGTCCCACCCATCACTGTTTTGGGCTCACTCTCGGTCCTTCCTGCCTGCCTTCTCTCCGCAGGTGGTCAGCCTGGCGCACAACCTCATCTACTTTGGCTTCTACAGCTTCAGCGAGCTGCTGCGGCTCACGCGCACTCTGCTGGGCATCATCGACTGCGTGCAGGGCCCCACGGCCATGCTGCAGGCCTACGAGGACCCAGGCGGTGAGACATCGCTCCCTGGCGCTCATCGGCTTCCCCTTAGCAACGGAAGTCCTCTCCCATTCACCCTCCTGGGCATCCTGCCTCCTGGCTCTGCTGCCAGGGGATGTCTGGGGTCCCTGTCTCCTCCAGCCTTGCCTGGACCGGAGAGACCCTTTCTCTGAGCAAGCGCTTTGGAGACCCTCGGGTTTGGGCGAGTTGCCTTCCAACACGTCCTGGTCTTGAGGGAGATAATGAGGCCCTGCCTGGGGAGCTCCGGTCAGGTGGGGAGACATACCCTATTATCCAGGAACAACCATTTGAGAGGAGACACAGCCTTGCTGTCAGGGAGGCATAAACTCATCTAAACAAAAAGCGCCCAGAGACTGACCCCAGGCTTTAGTGCGGTCCACACATTGTCCCTTGATCCCTCTTGCTCTGTAATAGCTCTTGTGATTTTTCAAGAGGATTCTCACTGATCTCCCCACACGGTTCACCTTTGCCCAGCCCTCCCTCTTTTTCGCAGATTTGGGAAAGCTCACCTCCCCCAGGAAGTCTTCCTAGGTTAGCCCTGCCCCTGCAGGGTGGCTTTGCCCTGCAGCTGACGGAGACAGAGGTAGACCAGGTGCCCCTGCCGTACACCCGTCGTGACCCCTTTGCTGCTCCCCACCCCACAGGCAAGAACGTGCGGCGGTCCATCCAGGGCGTGGGGCACATGATGTCCACCATGGTGCTGAACCGCAAGCAGTCTGTCTTTGGTGGCCCCAGCTTGCCTGCCAGCGCCGGTGCCCCCGAGCCACTGGACAGGAGCAGGTTTGAGGAGAATGAAGACATCGTGGTGATGGAGACCAAGCTGAAGATCCTGGAGATCCTGCAGGTGGCAGGCGTGCGGGGAAGAGGGTGGGGCGGGGGCAGGTCCGCGTGGGCTGGTGGGGTGAGCCCCCTCAAGGCACAGCCTGTCGTGCTGGGAGGCTCCACACAGAGCCGTTTAGCCCAGGGATTCTCAAAGTGTGGTCCTCTGGCCGGGAGCATCAACCTCACCCGGGGACTTAGAAATGCAGGTTCCTGGGCCCTGCCGGAGATTTGTGGATGAGAGATGCGGGAGGCGGGGTCTGTAGTCTGTGTGGTGAGAAGCCCTCCCGGTGATCCTGGTGTGCACTGAGGCCTGGCTGTGCCCCCTCATTGTGCAGACGAGGAAAGGGACGTGGCGAAAGAACTTTCCTGCAGTCAGACTTTGAGGCAGAGCTAGAGGTTTGAGAGCCCATTTTCTGGTGGGGTGGACACAGGTGGCCTTCTTCTTGGTCTGAGGCCCCCAGCAGCACTTGGGGAAGGGGCTGACGGGTCCTGAGGAGAGAGAAGGACCCTTGCTTTTGCTGTGCTGCCACCAGGGGTGGGAAGCGTGATCTGGCTTTCCTGGGGACCCCGTCTGTGCAGGGTCTGTTTAGAATAGTCAGAATAGGGGACTTCTGACTCATTGGGGGGGCTGGGGGCTATCAGATCTGAGTCCTGGGCTTGGCCGGAGGCTCTGTGCCCCTTGACTCAGAGGACAGAGGCAGTCAAGTGTGTCTGAAAACTCCTGTGTCCTCAGCCCCACCCCGCAGTGGTCTCCCCTGCTCCCCTACATTCCTTGGTTCCCTTGGGTCCCTGGGAACCCCAGGGTCTGTTTGCCAGAGTGGGATGGGAGGACCACAGTCCTCTGGATCTGGGGAGCTTCCTTCCTATCCATGTCCATGTCTAGCCTGGGAAGGAGTGACTGAGTGGGCCAGGATGGGGGGGTGTCTGCCTTGTTCTGAGATGAGTATCACCCCCACCAGTGGGGCAGGAGCTGGGGACAGGCGCCCTGGACCTCCCTGGGAGGAAGAGTCTTTATTTATATGTTTTATTGAAGTATAGTTGATTTATAATGTTATTAATTTCTGCTGTGCACCAAAATGATTCAGTTTTTTGTATGTATGTACATTCTTTTTATATATTTTTCTGTTATGGTTTATCACAAGATAGTAAATGTAGCTCCCTGTGCAATACAGTAGGACCTGTTGTTTATCCATTCTGTATTTAATAGTTTTTCTGTTTGTGGTCCACAGGTAGGTTCCTTTGTGTTGGTCTAGTTTCCACATATAAGTGGAATTTTTCTGCTTGAGTTACTTCATTTAGTATGATAATCTCTATCTACATCCATCTATGGTGCTGCAAATGGCATTGTATCGTTCTTTTTTATGGCTGAGTAGTATTCTATCACACACACACACACACACACACACACATTTTCTTTATCCATTCCTCTATTGATGGACATTTAGGTTGCTTCTTTGTCTTGGCTGTTGTGAATAGTGCTGCTGTAAACATGGAGGCGCATGTATCTTTTTGAATTACAGTTTTGTCTGGGCGCATGCCTAGGGGTGGGATTGCTGGATCATATGTGCCTAGGAGTGGGACTGTTGGATCATATGTGCCTAGGAGTGGGATTGCTGGATCATATGGCAGCTCTATTTGTAGCTTTCTGAGCAACCTCCAGACTGTCCTCCACGGCGGCTGCACCAGCTTGCATTCCCGGGGGAGAGGAGTCTTGCTGCTTTGGTTGTAATGCCCCATGGAGTCCTGAACATCCGTGCGGGGCCTCCCCAGCGCTGGGGCTCATCTGGGGTGGCCCCTCACCCCTCTTGCCGAGAGGTTGGCCTCAGACCTGTCCTCACCCCATCCTCTTCCCTTCTCTAGTTCATCCTCAATGTCCGCCTGGATTACCGCATCTCCTACCTGCTGTCCGTCTTCAAGAAGGAGTTTGTGGAGGTGTTTCCCATGCAGGACAGTGGGGCCGATGGCACGGCCCCTGCCTTCGACTCCACCAGTGAGCCCCTGCCCCTCCCTGCACCCCAACTTCAGGCTGAGGCTGTGTGACTCGATGCACCACAAGGGGCTGCGGTCTGGGGCCACCTCTGGCCAGTTCCCAGCCCTGCCCTCGTTTCCCAAGCTGCGAGGGCCTTTTTCCTCCCCATTGTCCCACTTACTTGCCCCAGAGAGGGAGCAGGGTGGGGGGCATCCTCTCCAGTTCCTAAATGGGCAAACTAAGGCCCACGGGAGGCAGGGGCTTGCCCACGACCATCATCAGTGAGAGGCTGAGTCAGACCAGCTCCCCCAGCCAGGACCCCGCTTGCACCTGCAGGGCCGTGGGCCGCCCCATGGGCCCCTGCCCTGGGCGGTTCCGCCTCCACCCCCAGGAGAGGCAGGCAGACCTGTAGGGCTGTGAGCCGCCCCACTGGTACCTGCCCTGGGCGGCTCCGCCTCCGCCCCCAGAGGCAGGCAGAGGGGCGGCCGCCCAGCCAGTGTGGGGGTGAGGGTGGTCTGGGCATCACCCTGCTCCCTCTGCCTGTGCTCCCCGTTGTCCTGCATGTGGACAGCCTCCAGCCTCCATCTGCCCCCCCTTACTCCCCACAGCCGCCAACATGAACCTGGACCGCATTGGGGAGCAGGCAGAGGCCATGTTTGGAGTGGGGTGAGGCCGGGGTGAGGCGGGGGGTGTGGATGGGGTTGGGTGGGTGCTGAGGATGCAGGCTGGAGACCCTTCACTCCTCGGTTAATCTTCCTGCAGCCCCTGACCAGACCCTGGGGCGGAGGTCCCCGGCTTTGTGCTCTGACTCTCCCTCGCATGCCTAAACCCAGTGATACCAGGGCTCTTTGGGCCCTGGAGTCATTCTGGCCATCCCCCTGCCTCCACTCAGGGCAGTTTGTGCCTGTTTATTTGTCAGGACCTGGGCCAGGTAGCTGGAGGTGCATCCCTGTGTCCACAGCAGGGAGGCCAGGCTGCTCTTCAGAGGGGGTGGGCGTCACTCCAGGAGCTGGGGGCTCTTAACTATTTCTGTGCCATACCCTTGGTGTCTGGTGAGGCCTTTGGCTCCCTTCCCAGGATGGAGTTTTTATTTTTTTTAATTTTTGGCATGCTGTGCAGCTTACAGAATCTTAGTTCTACAACCAGTGATTGAACTCAGGCCCTCGGCAGTGAGAGCACAGAGTCCTAACCACTGAACCACCAGGGAATTCCTAGAGTAGCATTTTAAAATTCAGAATGTAATGCACATAGGATGATTATTACAAAGGAAATCAGTGGCATTGGGACGCAGTTATCAAAATATTGGAGAAAACAAATTTGAAGTGACAGTTATGTATGTGCTTCTTTATTAACACATGAAATAACAACCCGCACCAGGGGTGTAATTAGTACCATTCCTTTGAAGTTGTGATGAATGTAAATGATATTTTGTAATTTCTGTAACAACTCTGAAGTGATGGGAAAACATCTGTGATTTTTTTATTGGTGACAAAGTCACAGGTACTGCTCATTTTTCTCACCGAAGGAAACACTACATTTTGGTGAAAAGAAAGATCAGCTTTCCCCCAATCTCTGTTCACAGCCTGTGCCTCTTTCTGTGAATCCCTTGGGGGGTCTGTGGGTCCCATGTGAGGCGTCCTGGCCTCAGCTGCATCCCCGTGGAGCATCATGTGGACCTCAGGGGACACGGGGTTCCCCGAGGTGCTCACGGTGGTGGCTGTTTGCAAAGTCAGCGGGGGGACACGGTGCCCTGGCTGTCTGGCGGGTGGCAGGGAGCCTGCGTATCCCCCGACTGTCGCACCTGCCTGCCTCCCTCCCCGCTCCCACACCTCACACCTCCTCCCTCCCTGCAGGAAGACCAGCAGCATGCTGGAGGTGGATGACGAGGGCGGCCGCATGCTGCTGCGCGTGCTTATCCACCTCACCATGCATGACTACGCCCCGCTGGTCTCGGGGGCCCTGCAGCTGCTCTTCAAGCACTTCAGCCAGCGCCAGGAGGCCATGCACACCTTCAAGCAGGTGCGCCCTCCCTCCCCCGATGGAGCACCCAGCCCTCGTGGAGGTGCTCTCTCCTCCCCCGATGGAGCACCCAGCCCTCAGGGAGGTGCTCCCCCCTCCCCTGATGGAGCACCCAGCCCTCAGGGAGGTGCTCCCCCATCCACCGATGGAGTGCCCAGCCCTCGTGGAGGTGCTCCCCTTCCCCCGATGGAGCACCCAGCCCTCAGGGAGGTGCTCCCCCCTCCCCTGATGGAGCACCCAGCCCTCAGGGAGGTGCTCCCCCATCCACCGATGGAGCACCAAGCCCTCGTGGATGTGCTCCCTCCTTCCCCGATGGAGCACCCAGACCTCGGGGAGGAAGGCCTGAGGGGTCTTCCTGGGGGCCAGAGGGTCACACAGCCCTGGCCACACACAGCACTGGGTGGGGGGAAACAAGGATGGGGCAGCTTGAGATGCATCCCTGGGGGTTGGCCTTGCTGAGCTCCTTGCAGGTGACACCACCTGGAGTCTTGGCAGCTTTGATCTCAGCCTGACTCCAGGCCTTATGTCATGTCTTATGAGACAGCATATTATAGATTGCGAACTCTACCATGGGCACCTTTGCTATTTCGCATCGTGCCTGGCACAGAGTCACCTCTTACCAAGGGGATTGGCTTTGTCACTGTGATGTCACGCAGTCTTGACGGCTCCCAGTGAGAGGGAACTGGCGTTTAACGGGTGCGCCTGGTACCAGGCACTGAGCACCGGGCTTTCATTTATGGAATTCTCCAAGCAGCCTGACAGCGGGGTTTTGACTCTCATTCCCGCTTTACCGATGGGGGAAATTGATGCCTGGGGGAGCTTTCCTCCCTTACCCACTGACCCAGAGCAAGTGAGGTGGTGACGGAGTCAGGGCTCAGGTCCTACCACTCAGTGATGTCAGCATGCTTTGCTCTGCTGCCGTGTTCTGTTCTATGTGAACAGGTGACAGGCCACAGCAGCATGTGACATGAGCCAGTGAGTAACTGAAGCCAGGTGATGAGATAGCTTACCATCAGGGATGCAGGGAAGTCTGTGGCCAATCAGGGAAAGCTTCCTGGAGGCGGTGGACTTAGAGCAGAGCCATAAACACCAAGTCAGATCTGGCTCAGTGGAGAGGAGCAGGGGTGGAGAGGAGAGGCCAGAGCAGAGAGGCCTGGACAGGGCAGGTGCTGGCGTCTCTATGAGGCCGTGGACCTGGGGGTGCCCACCTCACCAGGCACGCTCGTGGTCAACCTTCAGGTGCAGCTGCTGATCTCGGCCCAGGACGTGGAGAACTACAAGGTGATCAAGTCTGAGCTGGACCGACTGCGGACCATGGTGGAGAAGTCGGAGCTGTGGGTGGACAAGAAGGGCAGCGGCAAGGGCGAGGAGGTGGAGGCCGGCTCCGCTAAAGACAAGAAGGAGGTGCGTGGGGTGTGGGGGCCAGGGCAGGGCCCCGAGAGCTGGGCCTGGCTGACCCCGCTCCCCCGTCCCCCCAGCGACCCACAGACGAGGAGGGCTTTCTGCACCCGCCTGGGGAGAAGAGCAGTGAGAACTATCAGATCGTCAAGGGCGTGAGTCCGGGTCCTGGGGGTGGGTCTGTGGGCCCCCTGCCCCGGAGGCCCCGTGCCGCCTCTCCCGCCTCCACTCCAGCTGGCTTGCAGGAAATCCTCCAGCGTTCCCTGAGTGTTAAACACAGCCCTGCCTAGGTCCAGATGGAATTATTTTAAAGCTGAAGGAATTTAGTGAAATTCCACTTCACAGTCAAGTTGTTCTGTTGACTTTTGCCAGTGGAATTGGCTTTTCCGTGCTCGCAGCCTTGTCGCAACAATCGGGTTTGGTGGCCGCAGCCCCCTTCCCTCTTCCTGGCCCCGTGGTAGCCGTGGCTCCACTGTGGTTGGCCCCGGGGAAGCCTGAGGAAGTGGGCAGGGGCTCTGGGCTCACCCTCCCCGCCCCCCAGATCCTGGAGCGGCTGAACAAGATGTGTGGCGTGGGGGAACAGATGAGGAAGAAACAGCAGCGGCTGCTCAAGAACATGGACGCCCACAAGGTCATGCTGGACCTGCTGCAGATCCCCTACGACAAGGTGAGCCTGACCTCTGACCTCTGACTCCCCAGGGCTACTGCACCCTGAACCCGGACCCAACCCAAACCACACACTGACCCCAGATGCTGACCTGACCTGCCTCACCTGACCTTTTTACCTTTTTACCCACATAGCCAGACCCTTGAATCCAATCTTAGTATTCTTGACCTTTGACCTTCCACCCCTCATCCTGATCAACTTGGACCTTGAATTGACTCCAGCCTCACCCTGGTTCATGACCTTGACCCTAGCTTCTATTTCCCTCCCTGGGCTAATCCTCATCCTCCCAGCTTCATTTAAAAAAAAAATTTTTTTTTTTAAATTTATTTGGCTGTGCTGGGTCTTCATTGCTACATGGGCTTTTCTCTGGTTGCCGTGAGTGGGGGCGCTCTCTAGTAGTGCTGCTGTGGCCTCTCATTGTGGCGGCTTCTCTAGTGGCGTGCGGGCTCCAGGGTGCTCTGGCTTCACTAGCTGCAGCACAGGCTTTAGTGGCTGCGGCTCCCGGGCGCTAGGGCGCAGGCTCAGCAGTTGCGGAACACGGGCTTAGTTGCTCCTTGGCATGTTGCTTCTCTAGTGGCGCGCGGGCTCCAGGGTGCTCTGGCTTCAGTAGCTGCAGCACAGGCTTTAGTGGCTGCGGCTCCCGGGCGCTAGGGCGCAGGCTCAGCAGTTGCGGAACACGGGCTTAGTTGCTCCTTGGCATGTGGTATCTTCCTGATCAGGGATCCAGCCTGTGTCTCCTGCATGGGCAGGTGAGTCACCAGGAAAGCCCAGTCTCAGCCTCACTTTAACCTCTGACCTTCAGCTTCGTTACCCTGACCTACGTTGACCCCAGCCTCTCCTTGACCCCTGACTTTTGAGTTTTCACCCTAGCCTTACCCTATTGTCCCCAAGCCCACCCTGGCCCCTCACTCCAAACATTGCCTCATCTCAACCATAGACCCCTTCCTATGACTCACTGTGATCTTGATCCGCCCCCAGGTTCGCCCCGACTCTTGACTCTGACACCCCCTCAGTGTTCACCTGACCTGACCCCTTAGCTTTGCTCCCTGACTCCAGCCTCATCTCAGCCTCTGACCCTCAGTTCCTCCCACCTCTCCGTCTCCTGACCCACCTTGAACCTGGCCACCTTGGGGTCCCAGTGCTGAGCCCTGACCCACCCCCACCTGGGCACCCTCTCCCCTCCTCTCTGCGTCCAGGGCGATGCCAAGATGATGGAGATCCTGCGCTACACACACCAGTTCCTGCAGAAGTTCTGTGCGGGGAATCCCGGCAACCAGGCCCTGCTGCACAAGCACCTGCACCTCTTCCTCACACCGGGGGTGAGGGCATCGGGCCGGGGCGGCAGGCGGGGTGGGACCGCGAGACCCCCCTCTCTGACAGCCGCCCCACCTGCCTGCAGTTGCTGGAGGCGGAGACCATGCAGCACATCTTCCTGAACAACTACCAGCTCTGCTCCGAGATCGGGGAGCCCGTCCTGCAGCACTTCGTGCACCTGCTGGCCACGCACGGGCGCCACGTGCAGTACCTGGACTTCCTGCACACCGTCATCAAGGCCGAGGGCAAGTACGTCAAGAAGTGCCAGGACATGATCATGACCGAGGTGAGGGCGGCCAGGGTGTGCGGTGCGCGGATCACAGAGGGGCCCTGGGGTGCCGGGCTGCAGGGGACACGGGGATAGGACTGAGGACAGTGGGGCTGGTGGAGTAGAACTCGGGCTGTGGCCTAACAGAGCTGGGTCTGCGAGAGCTTAGGTGCCTGGTAGATTTCAGGTCAGAGGCCTGAGAGAACTCAGACACTCATTCCTTCATTTGTCATTATTTATTTACAAATCATGAAGCACCTGCTGCATGCCAGGCACCGTGTACCTGTGGGGGAAACCACTCCAGTATGAGGTCCGCGGGCAGGAGCCGCAGCGGGGGCAGGTCACAGCCTTTGTGCACGTTGTCAGGGCCCCAATGTCAGGCACATAGTAGGTGCTCAGTAAAGAAATGAAGGCTGAAGGGCTGAGCCTAAATCTGGAACAGATATGCTGTCTGCCCTGGAGCATCTTACAGCCTGGGGAGGGGCAGGGAGAGGAAGGAGCAAACACCAAAGGGAGACGAGGAACTTAATCAGTGAGCCATGGGGTCCGGGAGTGCCGTGCGGTGTTCATTGCTGACTGCTATTATTATATTAACCGTGAAGAACAGAACTGCTGACACGAGAGGGATGCAGCATGTGCTCCTGGAGGGTTTAAATTACAGCGGTGGAAGCACAGGGGAGGACAGCATGAGTCAGGCTTGCAACGGGCTTCCTGGAGGAGGCGCCTCTGAGACAAGCCCAAGTGGGATTTCTTTCCTTAGGCGAGGAAGGAGGTCCTTCCTGGGTCTGGGGTTTGATGTCCCAGCTGATGGCAGAAGGTCTGAGTTATTAGCTTAGGGCTCCGAAGTCCAGGAAACCCCAGACACTCAGGCGGGGGAGGGTTTTCCTGCGTGTTGGGTGCAGGCCGGGCTCCGAGCTCGGGTCCTTCCCTGGGGAGGGCAGGTGAGGGCTGGGGCCCCGGGCCTGCTGGACCGAGGGGCCTGACATGCCCTCTTCCCGCCCACAGCTGACTAACGCAGGCGACGACGTGGTTGTGTTCTACAATGACAAGGCCTCGCTGGCCCACCTGCTGGACATGATGAAGGCTGCCCGGGACGGCGTGGAGGACCACAGCCCCCTCATGTACCACATCTCCCTGGTGGACCTGCTGGCTGCCTGTGCCGAGGGCAAGAATGTCTACACTGAGATCAAGTGTACGTCCCTGCTGCCCCTGGAGGATGTGGTGTCTGTGGTGACACACGAGGACTGCATCACCGAGGTGGGGCCCACATCCACATGGGGACGCGGCGGGCGGCCACGGGGATGCAAGTGTGGGGGAGCCAGGCCAGGGCAGCCCCTCGGTCTTGCTTGGGTGGGGGAAGGGATGGGGCTGGGAGGTGGGGAGACGGAGTGGGTGCTGGCAGAGGAGCCAGGGAAGGTCGGGCGGAAGCATGGACAGTGAGAGCCTGGCCGGGGCTGGAGTTGGGTGGTGGGTGCTGCTGGCGCCCTGACCTCCCAGCCCTGCCTGCCCAGGTGAAAATAGCCTATGTGAATTTCGTGAACCACTGCTACGTGGACACAGAGGTAGAGATGAAGGAGATCTACACCAGCAACCACATCTGGACCCTCTTTGAGAACTTCACCCTGGACATGGCTCGGGTGTGTGCCTGTGGGAGAGTGGGCCCGAGCTGGCCCGTGGAGGGGGACCTGGCCACCTTTGTCATGGGGCGTGAGTGGAGAGGTCCCCAGGCATCGGTCTCTCCTACCCCAGGTTTGCAGTAAGCGTGAGAAGCGCCTGACCGATCCCACCCTGGAGAAATACGTGCTGACTGTCGTGCTGGACACCATCAATGCCTTCTTCAGCTCCCCGTTCTCTGAGAATAGCACCTCCCTGCAGGTGAGCGCCTGCTGCTGGCGGCTTCAGAGTTGGGAGTGGGGAAAGTCAGAATGTATATATTCACGTTTTCTTGCAGTGCGTGAAGATGCAGCAGCAGGATATGCACGTGCATCAGTTATCAATGCTGTGTAACAAATTACCCCCAGATCACAAACATTTATTATCTCACAGTTTCTGTGGGTCAGGAATTACAGTGGGGACTGCCATAGATCAGGAATTCCTAGATACGCTTGGGTCCCGGGGTGGCCAGGGACACCTGGCAGCCCTTATGCACCAAAGACAAGGCGCGATGATACCATAGCGGCTGTGGAGCTGAAACAGGGGGATCGGATGTGAAGAATCTTCCGAGTTGGCCTTGCTCCTCTGCAGAAGAGCTCTAGGCTGTGAGCAGGTGTTGGGCTTGGATCTCTGAGAGTCACAGCCCCCGAGGCAATCCTCAGATTCGAGCCGGGTCACAGCCCCAGAGCCCCTTGAGGAAGGAAGGAGCCTGCTACCTAATTCATAAAGGAACTCCGGAAGGACATGCAGGAGACCAGTCAGAGGGCTGCCTGTAGGTAGAGGGGCTGAGGGTGGAGTAGGGATAGTGTGTCTTAGAGTAGAAAGAAAGTGCTGGGTCCCACCCTCCCAGCCAGGATGGGCTTGTTTGACACCTGGGTTTGGGCCCTCAGACCCCTCTGGGACTTAAGTGATATGTATCAGTTTTCCCCTTCTCTTATCAGCTATGGGGCAGAGCATGGGAGGGTGGGGTGAGAGGATCACAGGTGGGGGAAAGACTCCCTGAAGTATTCCTCTTTTATTTTTATTTTATTATTTATTTCGGTTGTGCCATGTGACTTGAGGGATCTTAGTTCCCCAGTCAGGGATCAAACCCTGGCCTTGAGCAGTGAAAGCAAGGAGTCCTAACCACTGAACTGCCAGGGAATGCCTGAAGTGTTCTTTTCTATAATTTTTTGTTTAGAACCATGTAAACATTTCCCCTTTCACAGCATTTAATTTATTGGAAATTTTTTTAAAGGAAGAAAAGGGTCAGCAATAGAGTTATAAGTCCAGGCCTGGACCGTGGGGCGTTCTCACAGGGCTGCCATGTACAGTTGGGCAGGTTGTGCACTGCTGAGAGGAAAGAGGGTGCCTTTTTCCAGCTGGCACAAAGGCCCATGGTAGCTACGGGTGGTCCTGTCCCCCTGCCCACACCCAGACTCGGTGAGCCTGGCCCCAGGGTGCAGGGCCGCCCAGGGGGGAGGGTGGCCGGGCTGCAGCAGCAGGCACACTGCCTCTTGCAGACGCACCAGACGATTGTGGTGCAGCTGCTGCAGTCCACTATGCGGCTGCTCGAGTGTCCGTGGCTGCAGCAGCAGCACAAGGGCTCCGTGGAGGCCTGCATCCGGACCCTCGCCATGGTGGGTGAGTGTCCCGGGGTGCTGGGCAGCCCCCGCACCGCCCCCCTCCCCTGCCTCCGCCCGGGGACGCCTGCCCTCCCAGTAAATACCTAATCCCCAAGTTTGTCGGTCCGCTGCTCCTAGGTGGTGCTCAGTAAGTCCTTCCTGGTGTCTGACTGGCATCGGGCAATCCAGAGAAGCTGTTTTCTGCTCTGAGTCAGTTCTCTAGAGGAGAGTGCTGGGGGATATCCCCAAGCAGAGTTTTTTGGGCTTACAAATGGTCTCAGGCAGGAGGGAGGCTGTAGGATGTTAAGGAGGTGGGTAGAGTGGAGGGGAGGGGTCCGCATGGAGCCAGGGTGGAAACAAGGAGGCAGGAACTCCCTCTTTTTATCCCCAAAAGGGAGGAGGGCACCTCGGTCCAACTGGGGACCAGTGTGGGGGCCCCAGCACCCTTGGCCCTTGCCCCCTTGAGCCTGGCCCTTCTGGCTGAGCCCCTGCCAGCCCTCCAGCGCCCCGACCCGTCTCCCCTCAGCCAAGGGCCGGGCCATCTCGCTGCCCATGGACTTGGACGCCCACATCAGCTCGCTGCTCAGCAGTGGTGCCAGCTGTGTGGCTGCCGCCCAGAGGAATGCCTCCAACTACAAGACGGCCACGCGGGCCTTCCCCCGCGTCATGCCCACCGCCAACCAGTGGGACTACAAGAACATCATCGAGAAGCTGCAGGTGGGCGGGGGGCTGTGCTCGGGCTGCGTCCTTTCTGGACTGTCCATGCCCCGCCCCCCGGAGGAAGCTGGCTAGCTTGTCCTGTCCTGGGGGCCACCAGGGGCAGGGGCCCCATTCCAGGGTTGGCACTCACCAAGGGGGCTGGGACGCCTCTCGCTTGAGATAGCACCTTCGTGTTTCTGTCTCACCCTGCACACTGTCTCACTGGCTTCCCGACAGGGCGTGGTGGGTTACTGTCTTCCTGTGAAGACTGAGGCCCAGGGAGGGCGAGGGGCTTGCCCAGGTCTGCACGGAGCTAGAGGAGGGGCTGGGGGAAATGCCAGGGTGTGCTGGGGGCTCTGAGCAGCCCGGCGTCCTGCTCTGTGCTGGGGGCTCCACGCGGCCTGGTGACCTGCTCTGTGTTGGGGGCTCCGCGGCCCAGGGCCCTCAGACGGGGGTGGTCAGTCTGTGGGCCCTTTGGTGCTGGGGTGAGGGGAATGACAGTCACGCCCCGGTCATCCCTTGGGCCTGGGCGAACTGCAGCTCGCCCAGCAGTGACCCCGCCTTGCCCACCGCAGGACATCATCACTGCCCTGGAGGAGCGGCTGAGGCCCCTGGTGCAGGCCGAGCTGTCCGTGCTGGTGGATGTCCTGCACTGGCCTGAGCTGCTCTTCCTGGAGGGCAGTGAGGCCTACCAGCGCTGCGAGAGTGGGGGCTTCCTGTCCAAGTGAGTGCGATGCTGGCCCAGGGCCCGGGGGTGAAGGGGCACAGTGGCCCACGTGGGGAAGGCCTGGGGGGTCGGGGGTCGGGGGCGGTGGCTGCGCGGGTGGTACAGGGCTGCCCCGAGCACGGCCCCCTCCACTGTGGCCAGGCTGATCCAGCACACCAAGGACCTCATGGAGTCGGAGGAGAAGCTGTGCGTCAAGGTGCTAAGGACGCTGCAGCAGATGCTGTTGAAGAAGACCAAGTATGGGGACCGGGTGAGTACCTGGGGGGCTGGGCGCCGGGTGTGCCTGGCCACGGTGGGGTCAGGGCCAGGACCGCTGGGCTGGATGGTAAAGGGTGAGACAAGCAGCCGTGGGCCTCACTCTCTTCCCCACAGGGCAACCAGCTGCGCAAGATGCTGCTGCAGAATTACCTCCAGAACCGGAAGTCCAGCACAAGGGGGGACCTCCCGGACCCCATGGGCGCCGGTCAGTCCTGCGTCCCCGCTGCCAGGCCTCTGAGGGGCCAGTTCACCCCAGGCCCTTCCTTCCCCTCCCTCCACACTCCTCCCTAAGCGAGTTCCCCGCCTCCAGGCCTGGACCAGGACTGGTCAGCGATCGCAGCCACCCAGTGCCGGCTGGACAAGGAGGGGGCCACCAAGCTGGTGTGTGACCTCATTACCAGCACCAAGAACGAGAAGATCTTCCAGGAGAGCATCGGCCTGGCCATCCGCCTGCTGGATGGCGGCAACACCGAGATCCAGGTGTGCGGGGGCGGGGCTGCAGGGGGCTCGGAGGGCAGCGTGCCAGGTGCTGAGGCCCTGTGGGCGGGCATCCAGCCCCAGGGGACAGTGTGAGTCCGACTACTCCGCGGCTCTGCCTCCCGTGTCTGCTCTGTGTCACGTGGCTGTCTTCCATCCTACACCCCTGCCCTGCTCCATCCTGGGCCTGCTGCCCACCATCTCCGCCCCAATTACGTCCACCGTTCTTGCCTCTCAGCCTCTGCCCAGGCCTCCTTCCCTGCCCTCCCACATGTTCTTTAGCCTTTGGTATCCACCCAAAACCCTGCTTTCTCTAGAAGCCCTCTGTGATGGTCTTATCTCTGTTCATTTATTCCTTCATTCATTCTTCTGATAAGTCTGTGTTGAGTGAGTGCCTTCTATGTGCCTGGCAGTGTTCTAGGCTCTAGAATAAGAGCCAGGACCTGTGTTCCCTTAGTTCTTGTATCCTAGTTTGGGGACAGCAGTCACTACCTGCAGTCCCCATGTAATACGGAGAGCATGCTGGACGGCGATAATGCAGGAAGGGGCTTTGGGAGTGCCGGGCAAGGGGAGTCTTAGGGGGAGTCATCGGGAAGGCCCCTGGGAGGGGAACATTTGAATGAGGACCTGGAAGTGAGGACGTGTAGGAGTGGGGCAGGGTGCAGGGGGCAGAGCAGGCTGCGGAAGCTGTGAAGGGGAAGTGGCTCCTGTGGCTGGCGGGGCTGGGGGAGGGGTGGTAGGCGCTGGGGTCAGGGAGGTGGCAGGTCATCACGTGGCCTCGTGGCCCCCATGGGCCTGGGCCTGCCTCTGGGGAGATGGGGTAGCTGCAGGATTTTGAGCAGAGAAGGGACGTGACTTTGACTTCAGAGTGACCCCTCTGGCTGCTGTGTGGGGAACCAGTGGGGGGCCAGAGCAGGTGCCAGTGGGCAGGAAGGTCATGCAGGCCTCCCGCATGGCGGTCGCTGGCCCTCCCCCTCTACCTCTGCTGGTCTTGACTATCTCCAGCCTGGCCTCAGGCACAGGGTGCCGGGGAGTCTCTGTCTCCCTGCCTTGACCCTGCAGCACAGGAGGGAGCCTCCCAGGACCTCACCCAGGCCCAGTGCTGAGGTGCCCTGTCCCTCCATCTCCCCGTTCACCCCAGAAATCCTTCTACAACCTGATGACGAGCGACAAGAAGTCAGAGCGCTTCTTCAAGGTGCTGCACGACCGCATGAAGCGGGCCCAGCAGGAGACCAAATCCACGGTGGCCGTCAACATGAGCGACCTGGGCAGCCAGCCCCGTGAGGACCGCGAGCAGGCAGACCCCACCTCCAAAGGTCAGGCTCAGGGGGGTGAATGATGGGCCCCAGGGATGCAGACTGGGGTGGGAGGCAAGGTGGGTGGGCCGAGTTGTGAGCGTGGGAACGGAGGGTGAGGGCGAGGGCCTGAGTGCTCTCAGCAGCGCCAGCCTCACCAGGCCTCACCCCGCAGGCCGCGTGGCCTCCTTCTCGATGCCCAGCTCCTCATCCCGCTATGCGTTGGGCCCCAGCCTGCTCCGGGGCCACGAGGTGGGCGAACGCGTGCAGAGTAACGAGATGGGCACATCTGTGCTCATCATGCAGCCCATACTGCGTTTTCTGCAGCTGCTGTGCGAGAACCACAACCGGGACCTGCAGGTGAGGCCCCGCCCACGCTTCACGCCCCGCCCCACCTCCCAAAACCTGCCCCTACTCTGCGCCCCGCGTCAGCCTGGGCATCACGGCATGTGGCTCCGAGGCCGGCGAGGCCCACATCCCTGCCGCCCACATGATCGTGGTCCCCAGGCGGGCCCTCCCTCCATGCTGAAGCGCCGCCACGCGCACCCCTCCCCACCCTCTGCAGAACTTCCTGCGCTGCCAGAACAATAAGACAAACTACAACCTGGTGTGCGAGACGCTGCAGTTCCTGGACATCATGTGCGGCAGCACCACGGGCGGCCTGGGGCTCCTGGGGCTCTACATCAACGAGGACAACGTGGGCCTCGTCATCCAGACCCTGGAGACCCTCACTGAGTACTGCCAGGGCCCCTGCCACGAGAACCAGGTGAGCCATGGGAGCCGCGTGTGGTTGCGCGGACGTGGGGGAGGACGGAGCAGGCCGGGCCGGGGCCAGTCCCAAGCCCTTGCAGCTGCCACGGGTTCTGAGAGGCCCAGGGCCCCGTGTCATCCCCACCCCTCCCTCCCACCAGACCTGCATCGTGACGCACGAGTCCAATGGCATAGACATCATCACCGCGCTGATTCTCAATGACATCAGCCCCCTATGCAAGTACCGTATGGACCTGGTGCTGCAACTCAAGGTGGGGCCCTGGGCAGCCCATGTGAGCATGCGTAGGTGTGCCTGTGATGTGTGTGTTGAGTGTGTATGCTGGTATGTGATCTTAGCATTCTGTATGTGGGTGCCGTGTGGGTATTGTGTGTGAGCATGGGTGATGTGCAGGTGTGTGATATACAGGTTTATTGTGCACACGAGTGCACGTGTGAGCAAACACGATGCATGTACACTTGCTCTAGAAGCGGATACATGCTCTGGGTTTTTCTGAGGGCCTCCGTGTCCATATCTGCTACAGCAGGTGGGCGTGGGTGTGCTTACCACAGAGTGGGGGAAGGTGGGTTGGATACACAGCACCCTTCTCAGCAACCCCTGAGGGTCAGTGGGGAACAAGAAGGCCATGAGACTTGTGGGCAAAGAGACTGTTACAGAGTAGTCAGTGAAGGGGTTGGGGGCCCTCAGACTGTGGCGTGTCTCCCCACCCCAGGACAATGCCTCCAAGCTGCTCCTGGCTCTGATGGAGAGCCGGCACGACAGTGAAAACGCTGAGCGCATCCTCATCAGCCTGCGGCCCCAGGAGCTGGTGAGGCTGGGCTGGCGGTCAGGTGGGGCGGTGGGCCAGGTGGGTGTGCTGGGCTGGCGGTCAGGGCCCAGCCCTCCCTGCGCCCCAGGAAGAGGTCATTCAGCAGACTCTGCCCCGCCAGGTGGACGTCATCAAGAAGGCCTACCTGCAGGAAGAGGAGCGTGAGAACTCAGATGTGAGCCCCCGTGAAGTGGGCCACAACATCTACATCCTGGCGCTGCAGGTACCAGCCCCACCCCCCGAGCCCTGGCAGGTGGACACACCCCTCGACCACGCCCCATGACTCTGCTGCCCTCCCAGCTCTCCAGGCACAACAAGCAGCTGCAGCACCTGCTGAAGCCTGTGAAGCGCATCCAAGAGGAGGAGGCCGAGGGCATCTCTTCCATGGTGGGGGCCCAGAGGACAGGGCTGGGTGTGGGGCGTGGCTAACGCTGAGCCGGGGCGGGACTTACATTTAGGGGCGGGGTTAGGCGGGAGATTGGATGGAATAGTATCTGGGGGTGAGGCTAGGGCTTGAGGGTGGGGCTGAGGGCAAAGCGGAGACCTCAGAGCCCGGCTGGAATCTGGAATGGGGGCGGGGCGGGGAAGGGGGTGCAGGCTGAGAACCCATGGGAGCAGCCCTGATCCGGATGTAACCGAACAGCAGAGTGGGGACAAGGCTGCAGCCTGATTCTGGGGCGGGTCTGGAAGCCTAGAGCAGGGCCTCAGTGTGCACCTGGGCAAGGTTGTGGAGGGCCCTGACTGTCCTGCAGGAGTCTCCTCTTTGGGGCTGGGTCAGGTCTAGCTGGGGGTCACTCACCGCGGTGTAGCTCAGGGCAGGCTCAGTCCCGGAGGCGGGGGCTGCCAGGCCTGACCCGGGTACCCCCACCCCAGCTCAGCCTCAACAACAAGCAGCTGTCACAGATGCTCAAGTCCTCAGCCCCGGTGCAGGAGCAGGAGGAGGACCCGCTGGCCTACTATGAGAACCACACATCCCAGATAGAGGTGGAGCCCGAAGACCCTTGGCCGTAATAAGGGCGGGGCCGAGAGCGAGGGCGGGTCGTGGTAAGGGCCGGGCTGAGGCTGACCGGGCACTCTGTCCAGATCGTGCGGCAGGACCGCAGCATGGAGCAGATCGTGTTCCCCGTGCCCGGCATCTGCCAGTTCCTGACGGAGGAGACCAAGCACCGGCTCTTCACCACGACCGAGCAGGATGAGCAGGGCAGCAAAGTGAGCGACTTCTTCGACCAGTCCTCCTTTCTGCACAACGAGATGGAGTGGCAGCGCAAGCTCCGCAGTGAGGACCTGTGGGCGGGCGGGTGGGCGGGATGAACTGGGCTGGAGCTGCTCACTGATGCCCCTGACGCCTCCCTCACCTGCTGGTGAGGGCCCCACTGCCCCCCCCCGCCAAGGAGGGCCCCGATCATGTTTTCCTTCATGACTCTGCTGCCCTCCCAGCTCTCCAGGCACAACAAGCAGCTGCAGCACCTGCTGAAGCCTGTGAAGCGCATCCAAGAGGAGGAGGCCGAGGGCATCTCTTCCATGGTGGGGGCCCAGAGGACAGGGCTGGGTGTGGGGCGTGGCTAACGCTGAGCCGGGGCGGGACTTACATTTAGGGGCGGGGTTAGGCGGGAGATTGGATGGAATAGTATCTGGGGGTGAGGCTAGGGCTTGAGGGTGGGGCTGAGGGCAAAGCGGAGACCTCAGAGCCCGGCTGGAATCTGGAATGGGGGCGGGGCGGGGAAGGGGGTGCAGGCTGAGAACCCATGGGAGCAGCCCTGATCCGGATGTAACCGAACAGCAGAGTGGGGACAAGGCTGCAGCCTGATTCTGGGGCGGGTCTGGAAGCCTAGAGCAGGGCCTCAGTGTGCACCTGGGCAAGGTTGTGGAGGGCCCTGACTGTCCTGCAGGAGTCTCCTCTTTGGGGCTGGGTCAGGTCTAGCTGGGGGTCACTCACCGCGGTGTAGCTCAGGGCAGGCTCAGTCCCGGAGGCGGGGGCTGCCAGGCCTGACCCGGGTACCCCCACCCCAGCTCAGCCTCAACAACAAGCAGCTGTCACAGATGCTCAAGTCCTCAGCCCCGGTGCAGGAGCAGGAGGAGGACCCGCTGGCCTACTATGAGAACCACACATCCCAGATAGAGGTGGAGCCCGAAGATCCCTGGCCGTAATAAGGGCGGGGCCGAGAGCGAGGGCGGGTCGTGGTGAGGGCCGGGCCGAGGCTGACCGGGCACTCTGTCCAGATCGTGCGGCAGGACCGCAGCATGGAGCAGATCGTGTTCCCCGTGCCCGGCATCTGCCAGTTCCTGACGGAGGAGACCAAGCACCGGCTCTTCACCACGACCGAGCAGGATGAGCAGGGCAGCAAAGTGAGCGACTTCTTCGACCAGTCCTCCTTTCTGCACAACGAGATGGAGTGGCAGCGCAAGCTCCGCAGTGAGGACCTGTGGGCGGGCGGGTGGGCGGGATGAACTGGGCTGGAGCTGCTCACTGATGCCCCTGACGCCTCCCTCACCTGCTGGTGAGGGCCCCACTGCCCCCCCCCGCCAAGGAGGGCCCCGATCATGTTTTCCTTCTTGAGGCTGGTGGCCCCCCGCATGGGGTGGGCAGATGATATTAACCAAGGACTCCCCCTTCCCCTACCCCTGCCTCTCCCAGGCATGCCACTCATCTACTGGTTCTCCCGCCGCATGACCCTCTGGGGCAGCATCTCCTTCAACCTGGCAGTTTTTATCAACATCATTATTGCCTTTTTCTACCCCTATGTGGAGGGTGCATCCACAGGTGAGGACACAGGGCTGGCAGTCAGGGGGCCCTGAGTCTTCCATGCCCCCCTCCTCTGATGTGAGCAGGGGCTTGGGGCCAGCCAGGCTCCAAGGGAACTGGGTGCAGCGTGGGGAACAATGCCCTCTGGGTTCTGCACCTTATCAGGGGGGCAGACAGGCCCATGCCCTCTGTAGACAGTGCACACACATGTAAGGCAGAGAACAGTTGGTAGCAGCAGCTGGAGGTGGTAGCAACACCTTCTCCAGATGCAAGTGTGATGGGCGGAGCCCTGCAGCCAGGGCTGCAGGGACTTACAGGGTTGACTTACAGGGAAGGCTCCTGGAAAGGGGGAGGCTTCTTGGGATCTGTGGGGTGGGTGGGCTTGAGTGAGCCGCCCTGTCTCTGCTCCCGGGCCCCCAGGAGTGCTGGGCTCCCCACTCATCTCGCTGCTCTTCTGGATCCTCATCTGCTTCTCCATCGCGGCCCTGTTCACCAAGCGCTACAGCATCCGCCCCCTCATCGTGGCACTCATCCTGCGCTCCATCTACTACCTGGGCATTGGGCCCACGCTCAACATCCTGGGTGCCCTTAACGTGAGTGCCAGAGGACACCAGCCCCCACCCCTCAGGGTTCATCATGCAGTCGGACCTGAAGCGGGCCTGCCTCCCACTGGCCACTGCTCTGTCCCATCCCTCGGTCCCTGCACCAGGATCATTACAGACCCGAGGTTGGGACTACTCTGTGTCTCCTCCATCCTCCTGGACAACTCAGGGCAGCAGAGAGTTGGAGCCAGCCAGCCAGGAGCCACTTTGGAGCCCCAGCTTCAGGGCTGCTGGGTACCCGGTGTTGTGCACTGCCCAAAGGCACACTGAGGACATCAAAGATTTATGTGTTATGACAGTTTCCTGACAGATAGAAGTAAAATGCCTCAAGCAAGTGGGGGTACCTTTTCGTAACTTAATCATCATAAAGGCCAAGGGTGTTCTCTGACCTGTTCTCCTTTTCTTGCATCTTACTTTCTGGTGGCTCAAACGATGAAGAATCCGCCTGCAATGCAGGAGACCTGGGTTCGATCCCTGGGTCAGGAAACTCCCCTGGAGAAGGGAATGGCAACCCACTCCAGTATTCTTGCCTGGAGAATCCCATGGACAGAGGAGCTGGTGGTGGTCTACAGTCTATGGGGTTGCAAAGAGTCCGACACGACTGAGTGATTAACACTCACTTTTCACTTCTTCCTGAAGCTGGGGTCCCCCAGGGGCCTTCCACTATTCTAGTCTCAGAAGCATTTCAGGGAGTTATGTCTGCCATGCTGAGCAAGACCAGCTTGGACCCACTCTCCTGAAGACCTGCTCTGGGCCCGGCCCCAGGAGTGGGGGTTCAGGGTGGGAGCTGGGGCGCTGACCCCTGTGCCCTGCACTTGCCCACAGCTGACCAACAAGATCGTGTTCGTGGTGAGCTTCGTGGGCAACCGTGGCACCTTCATCCGGGGCTACAAGGCCATGGTCATGGACATGGAATTCCTGTACCACGTGGGCTACATCCTGACGAGTGTCTTGGGCCTCTTCGCCCATGAGCTCTTCTACAGCATCCTGGTGAGGCCCGGGTGGGGGTGGGGCCGGGCAGGGAGGAGGGGCGGCTGGGGCTTCCTGCTGGTTGCTGGCAGTTCCCCAGGCCAGGCCTCTTGCTGCTGGGTTGGGAGGAGAGGATTTCCAGTGTCCTCGTCTGCTGGACCCAGCCTGGCCTTCAAAACCCTGATGGCTCCTCATGGTCCCGTCTCCCTTGTACAGTGGGGGTTCAAGCCTGGACTCTGGAGCTAGACCATCCGGGTTTGCATCCCAGTGTGGCCCCTCCTAACCTTGGGCAGGTTTCTTAACTGCCCGTGCCTCGGTTTCCCCATCTGTAAGATGGATCATTAACAGCACCTGTCTTCCAGAATAGTTGTGAGGAAGAAGTGAGCTGCCGCACGACAGTCTTGTAGAGTGTCCTCGCAGGTAGCGAGCGCGCTGTCTTTCTCCGGCTGCACTTGATGCTCATTCCACCCTCATGCTTTCCCCTGGGCCCCTTCTTGGGCTTTAGGACTCCAGGCTCCCCAGAGATGTCTCCCGCGATGGGCCCGTGGGCCTGGTTCCACCCGCCTAAGCGCAGACCTCTCTGGGGGGACGTGGGACCCAGAGGGAAGCAGGCAGCCTGTGGGTCCAGCGGTGTCGTCATTTCTGCCCTGCAGCTCTTTGACCTCATCTACCGCGAAGAGACACTGTTCAACGTCATCAAGAGTGTGACCCGCAACGGCCGCTCCATCCTGCTGACTGCCCTGCTGGCCCTCATCCTGGTCTACCTCTTCTCCATCGTCGGCTTCCTCTTCCTCAAGGATGACTTCATCCTCGAGGTGGACCGGCTGCCCAGCAACCACTCCAGAGGTCTGGGGCGCCTCTCCCGGGCTGGGTGTGGGGACGAGAGGCCTGCACAAGCGGAGCGCTTATCCCGCCAGCCCTGCTGTTTCTCTTCTTGGGTTCTGGGTGGGGACTTAACTCACACCAACCTGCCTCCCTCTTCCCTGGGACAGACTGTAGGGGGTGGGCGTGGCTTGACTCACTCTGGTTTGCAGACCCTGTGGTTTAGGTTAAACTTGGTACTTGTGGGAGCTGCCCATGTGCCAGGGCTGGGGATGCAGAGCCCCTTCCCTGTCCTTGGAGCGCAGCCTGGCAGGGGCAGGTACACGTAGACCCTTCACTGTAGCCCGACAGTGGGGAGCTGGTAGCATCAGGGCAGGCTTCCTGGAGGAGGTGATGCTGGGGTCAGAACTAGGGATATGATGAGGCCAGGTCCTTGGACCTCCTGACCTCGACCCTGTTCCCTCCAGACAACCCTCTGGGGATGCCACATGGAGCTGCCACATTTGTGAACACGTGCAGTGGGGACAACGTGGAGTGTGTCTCAGGCGTCTCCGTGCCTGAGGTCCTGGCAGGTGAGGGCAGTGTCTCAGGAGTCGGGTGCAGTGGGGGTGGAAGCACCTGGCCTGGCCGGGGTCTGAGCACACGCCCCACTTGTAGAGGACGAGGAGCCGGACAGCACGGAGCGGGCCTGTGACACCCTGCTCATGTGCATCGTCACCGTCATGAACCACGGCCTGCGCAATGGCGGTGGCGTGGGGGACATCCTGCGCAAGCCCTCCAAAGACGTGAGTGCCCCGGCCCCGCCCCTGGCCAAGGGGGCCGGCCCGCCCTCAGGTCGCAGCTAGCAGGGCAGCCCGGTCCACCCCCTTCACGTCCCCACCCCACTGTGTGCCCCCTGCTCCCGGGCAGTTACAGGGTAGCTGTGCTCATGGTGGATGCTCTGAGGGAAGACCTTGGCACCCAGCTTTTTCAGGCTGGGAAAGCCGTGAGTCAGACAGTGGGTGGGTCCCGGGCCGCAGGGCTCCGTCTGGGGGGCTGGNGGCAGCCCGGTCCACCCCCTTCACGTCCCCACCCCACTGTGTGCCCCCTGCTCCCGGGCAGTTACAGGGTAGCTGTGCTCATGGTGGATGCTCTGAGGGAAGACCTTGGCACCCAGCTTTTTCAGGCTGGGAAAGCCGTGAGTCAGACAGCGGGTGGGTCCCGGGCCGCAGGTCTCCGTCTGGGGGGCTGGGCCCCAGCCTGCAGCCAGGGCGGCTGGGCGGGGAAGAGGCCTCGGGGTTTGGCCCAGCGTGTGCCGGCAGCCAGGATGACAGTCTGTCCCCAGTGGCACAAGGGTGAGAAGCTGCTCCTTAGCCAGGGGTCCCCTAGAATGAGTGAGATCACGTGTCCGGAGGGCAGCAGAGTTCAGAGCCACCCGTCCCCTCCCCAGCGGTCAGGAGTGGGCCGGGCCTCGGCTGTGCCCCACGCCAGACTCCTCCCCGAAGGCCTCTTTCTGGCCGCTGAGTCCCTGTCCACACACGTGGCCTCTGGTGGCGATTCTGGCTCTGTGCAGTGAGGCGGGTCCTCTCCACCGTCTTCGGGGCCTTTGCGCTCTTCTGGGAGCTGCTGGGCCCAGCCTTCCTGCCTCCCTCCCGTAGGAGTCTCTCTTCCCCGCCCGAGTGGTCTACGACCTCCTGTTCTTCTTCATCGTCATCATCATAGTGCTGAACCTCATNTGAGGCGGGTCCTCTCCACCGTCTTCGGGGCCTTTGCGCTCTTCTGGGAGCTGCTGGGCCCAGCCTTCCTGCCTCCCTCCCGTAGGAGTCTCTCTTCCCCGCCCGAGTGGTCTACGACCTCCTGTTCTTCTTCATCGTCATCATCATAGTGCTGAACCTCATCTTTGGGGTGATCATCGACACCTTTGCTGACTTGCGCAGCGAGAAGCAGAAGAAGGAAGAGATTCTCAAGACCACGTGCTTCATCTGCGGTGAGGCTGGGCTCCCGCCAGGAGGCCTCAGTCCACCCTTCCTCGGTCCCGTGGCCCCAGGGAGTCCTGCGTCGGGCCGGCGGCTTGGTGACTGTTCGCTTATCCCAGAACTGGGGGGAAAGAGCCCTGACCGAGTGTGGAGTCATCGAGGGCGCAGGAAGGGGCCTTGGAAACCCTTCCTTTAAATTCTGGGTCTCAGATGAGGAAACGAGCCTGGCCTCGGTCTGGGGCCTTTCTACCCCCACCAACCCGTATGAAGGGCAGGTCCTCTCCCGGCCCCTGTGGGTGAAGGAGCAGAGTCCCCTGTGGGACCAGGCCCCTCGTCAAGCCCTTCCCACGCCCCCGACCCTGGGGTCCCGGCGTCTGTAGGGTCCCCACGGCGCTGTGGCAGGGCAGGGGCTGCTGCTTTAAAAGGAAGCGACCTCAGTAGCTCAGAGCAGGCTGTTGCCCGCCCTCATCAGCACGTTCAGCCCGAGAACAGTGCCCCCGCTGCGTCAGGAGGCCCTGCCCGCCCACAGGGGCTCTCGGAGGCGGCGAGCCCGCCTTCACTGCCGCCCTCTGCCTCCCCAGGTCTGGAGAGGGACAAGTTTGACAACAAGACCGTGTCGTTTGAGGAGCACATCAAGTTTGAGCACAACATGTGGAACTATCTGTACTTCATCGTGCTGGTCCGAGTGAAGAACAAGACCGACTACACGGGCCCGGAGAGCTACGTGGCCCAGATGATCAAGGTGAGGGCTTGGGGGGTGAGGGGCGGGGTGGGGACGGCTGTGGGCCCTCGTTCAGAGGCAGCAGGGGGCGGGGAGCAGCTGGAGCTGGCTAGTCCGGAGCCCCCCAACCCCTCTGTGCTGCAGAGGGGGTTCTCTGGAAAAAGCCCCCCGAGGGTGCAGGTGGCGTTTGGGGCCTGTGGACGCCCGGTGCCAGGTGACCCTGCTTGTGGCCCTTTCTGAGGGCCCTTTTCTGTCGGGTGCGAGAGGGAGGGCGGCTTCCTGAAGCCTGGGTGGTCGCAGGCCTCGAGGGCGCCTGGATGAGCTTCACCCGGTCAGATGCAGGAGGCTCACCCATCACTCCTGTTCAGTGTAGTCGTGAGTGAAGGTCTGGAGGGTGAAGTCCACCGGCCGTCAGGCAGGGCGTCTGCAGATTGCCGCACACAGTGTGCGTGCTCCAGGCGAATCCGTCTCTGCGACCCCACGGACTGCAGCCCCCCAGGCCCCTCTGTCCGTGGGATTCTCCAGGCAAGAACACTGGAGTGGGTTGCCATGCCCACCTCCAGGGGATCTTCCCGACCTGGGGATCGAACCCACGCCTCTTTAGGTCTCCTATATTGGCAGGTGGGTTCTTTACCCCCGGTGCCACCTGGGGAGCCCACACAGCTGAGGTTGCAGCCTCTAAAAGGAAAGAAAACAACTCGGGAGGGGCTTCTCTGTATGTGTTTTGAGCCTGTATTTGGACTGGTCTTGAGTGCAGGTGTGTCTGTTGGCCTGAGAATTCAGCTTGCAACTGGTGCCCCCCCCAACTCTGCCTCTTAGTCTTGGGAAGTGCGGCTTCGCCTGAGTTCAGATGCCACTGCCCCCCGCAGAGCCTGCCCCTCAACGTGCCATGTGCCTGACTCGCGCCTTCCTGGGGTGTGGGGCCCGCTGGCGGGGCGGGGTGGGGCGGGGCGGGAGGAAGGAAGGAAGGAGCGATGGGCCTGACCCCCGCCTCGCAGGGCTTGAGGAGTAAACATGATCCTAGCCATACTGCAGGAGACACAGGCTGGCGGAAGTCGGCCTGTCTCAGCGCGTGCCCCGCCCGCACAGGGTCACTCTGGCCCCGGGGGCAGGACCCGGGTCAATTCAGGTTTTCCCAAGACAAGTCCCTGGGGAGTAATTTGGCCCCGGGTGTGGCAGCAGGCTTTCCCCACATGACTGCTTTTCTAGAGGCCTTCTTGGGCTGGGCGTTTACCCCACGGGGATGTTTTTCAGAACAAGAACCTGGACTGGTTCCCCCGGATGCGGGCCATGTCCCTGGTGAGCAGTGAGGGGGAGGGGGAGCAGAACGAGATCCGCATCCTCCAGGACAAGCTCAGCGCCACCATGAAGCTGGTGTCCCACCTCACCGCCCAGCTCAGTGAGCTCAAGGAGCAGGTGCGCCCCCCGTCCTGGCCCTGCTGGCAGCCCCCGCTGTGCCTGAGGCCCCAGCCTGCCTGCCTGGGGGCGGGGAGGGGGGTGGGGCCTTTCTGCTTCCTCTGCCCCCTTCCTGCTGCTCCTGCCTCTTGGGTCTGGGGTGGGAGGAGGGGAGACGAGAGGGAGGTGGCCCCTCCCCCATGCCCCGAAGGGCAGTCCGGCCGGGCTGAGCGCGACCTCGTGCAGGTGTGGGGCCCCCTCGTGCGCCCCCTCGGCTCCAACCTGCAGCTGCTAGGCTCTGGCCCAGGCGCTGACGGGTGATGGGGAAGTCAGGGTCTCCTTCCGCTTCTCAACACCCGCTCTTGCCCAGAGCGTCCTCTGTGCCATCTGGCAGTGACTAAATACGGTCAGGCGGCCCCTCTTTTAGGTAGGCCGCTCTTCCAGTTGCACCAGATCAGTGGTTTGTGACGCGCTAATTGAGGACCAGGGTTTGGGGTTGACGGCCCTGCAGCAAGGGACGTGGGGAGGGTGGGCTCTGGGCGGCCTGACCTGACCGCTGGCGTCTGTTTAAACCCAGATGACGGAGCAGAGGAAACGCAGGCAACGCCTGGGCTTCGTGGATGTGCAGAACTGCATGAGCCGCTGAGCCGCCGCAGGAGGCCCGCCGGCCGCATGGACACTGGCCACCCCTTCAGGCTAGGCGCCCACCCAGCCGCCAGAACCCATTTGGCCAGACCCCCCAGGCCAGCCTGGAGGGGAAGCTACAGAGCGGACAGCCCTGCCCAGACCGAGCCCCTAGAAGACTCAAACTCGCTGGGCCTCGCTCACCTTAGTGCCTTAGAGGAAGTCTGTCCTCGCACAGGACTGTTGCTTGGTCCCTTAAAGCAGTAACTGACATCGCTTCGTATTCCTCCTGGTGGGTGATCAGGAGTGGGGTCTCCTCTGTACTCCAGGCACTACGTTTTGGTCACTGCCGCCTCTGGGGGGTCGCAGTGATGCTCTTGCTAGTGATTTTAGGGCTTTGTTATTTAACTTATTCATGGTGCCTGCTCAGCCCTGCCCCGGGCTGCGCCCCTCCCCCGGGCCCCAGACCTGCTGTAGACCGTGTAGACCTCAGTGTCCGAGGCCGGGCCAGCGTTGCTGGCAGCCCTGGGAGGACGGGAGACCGCAGCAAGGAGCCTTGCTCCTCCTGGGGGCAGGCACACGCCCAGGGGATGGGCTGGAGCGTGTCAGGAGGGGCTGGTTTTCACTGCCTGTTTGCTCCTTTTGGTGTAATGTTTTACAAATCCTTTGGCCCGAGAACTAATATGTTAATTGCCTTAAATAAATTAATAAACCTAGTCCATTAGAAAAGGATGCTGGCTCCCGTACTCCTTGGGGGCTGGGCTGTGGGAACACGGTGCTGGCAGAGGGCAGTCTGAGCCCTGCCTGCTGGCCTGGCCTCACCATGCATTTGGGAGATGCTGAGTGCCGTCCTGTCAGAGATTCCAGGGCAGAATGCACTGCAGTGTAACTGGTTTCTGTCATCATCCTATGTATTTTATTTTATGCAAAACACAGTGAGGAGTCCAGGTACAGAGGAGGTTGAGAACCCACTTCCACTTCCCAACAAGGGGTGCTGTCGGCCCTGCCAACCCCTCCTCTCACCTCTGTTCTTGACAAGAAAGCTCCAGTGGGACCGTGACCGTCCACGGGTGAGCGCTGAGGCTCTGTGGAGTAACAAGGTGACCCTGTGGTGTCCCCGCCGGGGCCTGCCCCCAGCGTTGGGCCGACTCCAGCCAAGGCCCCACCCAGCCCGCCGGCTGCTCTGCCCTGCCCCTCGGGCCGACCTGGGACACGGCTGCTTTGCGAGGTCAGGGCAGAGGGCCGAGCAGGCTTTCCGCAGCCCTCTGCCACAGAGTGCCGCCGCTGTCTGTTGGCGGCGGGACAGGATGCCTTCTTTGCTGCCTGCTGCTATGTTTGGCTTTCCCCCAGGAGCGCCTACAACAAACGGGAGCCTGAGACTTTGCCAGGAGCCAGGCAGACCCCCGCTGGCAGGTGGGGCCCTGTGGCTGCGCAGGAAGCACCTTGCCCAGAGGCCCTGTCACCTTCCCCCTCAGGCCCAGACGCAGACCTGCACTTCCTCTCCCAGGGACGCTGAGCCTGGCCGGTGGGCGGGCGGATGCTCAACCTGCATCCCTTCTCAGGCCGCAGCTTTCTTTAGAGAAACAAAGGCTTCCTTTCTGTGAAGGCCAGGCGAGATTCCCGAACCATGAGGATGGGGAAATCAGGGCGTTTTATTGATGATGGCAACACACACGATGCCACGCTTAGGTGCGCGGGCGCGACAGGGCCCGAGCCCAGGCTTTGTGCTTTTCCTCAGGGTTCCTGGGGGCAAACTTCTCCTGCAGCTTCTTCCACATGCCTTTATTCATCTCCTTAAACTCATCCAACGTGTCTGCAAAAGGAGAAGACAACAAAAAAGGATGAACTGTAAAATGATTACACAGGTTGGCCCCAAGGGCTTTCGCCATCAGGCAGCACTCTTCACGGAGAAAAGGACGTGCGGCCCCAGCTTCTGGGAAGCGAGCCGAGCAGGGTAACGGACGAATACCGTGAGTGGGCACGAGCACGGGTGCCAGACCGCGTCCCGACAGCAGCCTCTGCTCACATCGTCCCCACGCAGCAGCCAAGCGGGGCCCACGCTGCCACCCGGGAGCCAGGACACGGCGCTGCCGTGTCGGCTTCGCAACCCATGTGCCCTGAGGCTCGTCACAACACTCGACCGGAGCCACAGGGGCTGTCTCCGTTGTACAGACGTGGGGACTTGAGGCAGAGTGGGGTAAGGGAGCCTGAGCAGGCTCCACGGCAGGAAGCGGCAGAGCTGGGGTCTGAATCCAGGCACTTACGTCCACCCACACCACGGGGATGAGCGGCCACCCTTGACTCCAGCAGGAAGCTGGGCCCGGGCCCCCATCCCCACCCACCATTTCCACACTGGGTCCCCTCCAGCAATCAGGTTCCTCATCTCTGAGCCTCAGGTTCCTCATCTGCAAAGTGGAGACAAACACCCGCCTCACAAGCTGTGAGCTGTGTTCTGTAGTAATTTTACTGATTTCTGACTGTGCGGGGTCTTTGTTGCCGTGCGGCCTGCTTTCCAGTTGCAGTGTGCAGACTTCCCACTGCGGGGCTTCACTTGCAGCGGAGCACCGGCTCCAGGGCTCACGGGTTCTGGAGCACAGGCTCAATAGTTGTGGCTCACGGGCTTAGCTGCTCTGAGGCACAGGGGATTTTCCAAGATCAGGGATTGAACCCGTGTCTCCTGCATTGCTTCTGCATTGACAGGATTCTTTTCCATTGAGCTACCAGTGAAACTGAAAAGTTGCTCAGTCGGGTCCGACTCTTTGTGACCCCATATACAGTCCTTGGAGTTCTCCAGGCCAGAATACTGGAGTGGGTAGCTGTTCCCTTCTCCAGGGGATCTTCCCAACCCCAGGATCAAACCCAGGTCTCCAGCATTGCAGGCGGATTCTCTACCAGCTGAGCCCCCAGGGAAGCCCCCAACGTTGTGACCTTTAAGGAGAGGATGGAGGTGATGTACTTGGCACCTGGCCCACATTCCAGAAAAGGGAGCCACCTTCACAGACATGAAGGTGGCAGGAGCCAGTGGGGCCTTCATTTAGAAACATACACCCACCCCCCCCTCCCCGCCCCAAGCAACCAGGGCAGGGTCTCTCAGTCAGCACCAGCGAGGTTTAGGGCCAGGTAGCCCTTCGTTGCAGGGCAGACCCGGCACTGTGGCCGCATCTCAGCCTTGACCCACCGGACGGCAGTAGCCCCTTCCCGCCAAGCCTAATGACTATCACGGTCTCCAGACGCTGCCAGAGTTTCCCTGCGGGGCAAAACTGAGTCCGAATTGACAACCACCAGTCTAAAGTCTCTCTAGGGCTAAAGTTCTATGATACCTAATTTTACTTATATTTTAAATTTAGATTTTATTTATGAATTAATTTATGAAATTAATTTTTGTAGCCTGGATTTTCATCTCTTAATGAAACTTATGGAGAAAAAGAATAGCTGTTCTGAACAAAAAGCTAACTTACATTATTACAATTATTGTCAGTGGACTCTTGACTAAACGAGGACCAGCTCTGTACCCCAGCCACAAGCCCAGCATCCTACCCCAACTTTTCCAGAAGTCCAGGTTGCCTCGTGGGGCACAAAACGGGATGCCGTGGGCTCCCTTTTCCAATAAGCCCTGAGGCTCCTTCAGAGACTCCCGGGACCCCACCTCAGGGTGGACACACTTGGGACCAACACTGGGGCCACATTTCAGACTTGCCAGGCCTTCAAATCCTCACTACGAACAGTGCAAGGTGTTCTCCTGCCCTGTCAGAGGGAACATTTGGTAAGCTTATTCCACAGAGTCACAACAAAAAGATGAGGCTTGCTGTGAAAGCTAATTATCAGCCAATTTCCTAAGGCTGAGCTCCTGCCGTCCCAGAACAAGCCACAGCACAGACCAGTGGGGGAGGTCTTGCGTCTCCCCACCTTGGTGTCCCTGTTCTCCCCCAACCCAGCGTCCCGAGCGTTAACAAAGGGCAGAGGCTGAGCCTCTAGAGCTCCTTTCCGTTCTGATTTCAAGTTCAAACTTTGCTTAAACTCTTTGGGGTCCTCACAATGACACTGTGCATCGAAGCTTGTAATTACATGGGCCTGGGGACATGGGGGTATATTCTTTGGATATACATAAAATTGCCAATAAAGTGATTCTGCCTGGCCAAAGTATCTTTACCCCAGTTTTTCAGAGAGTACTGTAATAAAAGTGGGATCAGGGTCAACACACAATGGCAGATGACACCACCAGGTTTTAATCTGTTCAGAAGGCTGAGTTTTCTGGAAGCCTAAATCCTCAAACCTTAGTGGCTGAAGCATACTGGAGAAATAGGAAACAGAAATTTCTAGAGTACCAGAAATCAAATGTTTCAGGGCCATGCCCTCCCAGAAAAGGTTAGCCTATTTTTATATGTGGTGTCCTTGGCCATAAAAATAGTAATTTTCCAGAACCTGCCTGTTTCAACCCAGGCTCCCCCGGCCACCACCCGCCACGTGCCCCTCCAGTGACAATGGAGATGGGGAAGAAGGAGGGGCTGGGTGAGGCAGGGTATTTCCTGTCTTGTTAATCAGGGTCTGTCAAGGACTCCAAAACAAACCTAGTTAAACTCGTATCTAACCTGCAGCCCATGTCCCCATACACGTCCACTGAATGGCTTTTTGTTTTAATTAAAACCCTCATTGTTTATAAAGGCCTCTTAGGACCATAAAAATAAAATTATTTTCCTTCCATCCTGACTTCAACTACTTCCATTTGGCAAATACATATTCCCCTGTTCCCTGCTGCCCAGTCTTGAATTTAAAAGCTCTGAAGATAAATTTGCTTTTTTTAAATAACGCCTTTGACCTTCTCCATATTCTATGACCAAAAAACATGAGCCCTGTAGCTTCAGAATTTCCTGTGGGCTATTCCACAAGACTTTCCATCAGGCAAAGCTGTCTTATTAGATGATTCCCCGTGGCCACTCAAAAACCCATTTGCAAACCAACCAGAAGCGGCAGCAGCTGCGCTTCCCATACCTGTGGACAGGATCAGCTTGTACTCTTCCAGGGACAGGCCGCTGAAGCTTGTGTCTCTGGGGCGAGGGTACTGGTCACAGGGGCAGAGAGGAGGGAGGGGAGAGATTAGTTCCGCGGCACACATGGAGAGAGGCGAGCTCTCAAGGGCAGTTCACAGGCCCTGGTGTCCAGAGGCCAGGGGGGGGGCAGCGCCACCTGGAGGCCACACTGGCGCCGTCCGCAGCGGAGGCGCCTGAGCCTCTGGAGACCCAGGCTGGGGCCGGGAGGGAGACCCAGCCCTGAGGCCGCATCTCTGACCAGCCCCCGGGCAGTGCCACGCTGCGGCTGACCATACTGTGGGTCCCGAGGATTTAGGAGAAATCCCCTTTCCATGCAGACTAGGCCTTCGGCCATGTGTATCTGTGGAGTTACTGAGCACATTTTTTAAGACTGGGGAAGAAACACACTTAGTGGAATTTGACAGCAGTCACGTTACGGCCAAGGAGAGGCCCAGCGTGTTCTGACAGGGCTTCCTGGTCACTTCAACTCTGTCACCAGTGTGTCAGGAGGGTGGGCCAATCTGTGCGAGACCCAACAGCTGTCGGACACCCAGAAGCACCCCCGGCATACAAAACGTGGCTTTTCTTCAAAATTACTAAGACCTTTCATTTAGGTGACCTAAAAGCCTCTACCAAGTGCCTTAGTTGGCTTGGTTGAAATTACTGGTTACATTCGAAACCAGCAAAACCACAATTCTATATAAA